CCTGGAAAATGACTTTGGTGGCTGTGGTACGGGGCGGAAAAGCTGGCTCTGAAAAACAGACACAGATGGGCTTCTGCTCCAAGGATCCCCAGACAGACAAGCAGGGTGAGGGAGGACACCCACAGGCCACGGTGTAGGCCTCCCCCGGGCACAAAGGAGCCGGCCTGGTTCCTAGAGCCTTGGCATTTAAGAGGCAGATCTGGACCTCTGAACTTTGACCTCTGGCCTCTAGTCTCCAAGCTCCCCATGCTTTCAGACTGAAGCAGGTGTCAACAGGATGAAGATGTCATGCAGTATTGAGCGTGGCAGCGCCTCAGGGCTGCTCCTGGGTGACTTGAGTGCCTCTTGCTCTGGCCATAGAGGGGACACCAGGAGCTCTGCTGCCTGCACGTGCATGTGCTCATGACCAGGGTGCTGTGGGGTCTGAAGAAGTCTGTCTTCCCTTCTTGAAATCTGTCATCTCCCCCCTTGCCCTGACGGATGGGGCCAAGAGTTGCTGTCACACTGAGTGTGCCTAGCTTTCCCCTCTCTGCTATAGCCCCCTTCCTTCAGGCCCCTGCCTCGTCCAGACCATGAGTGGGGAACCCCTGTGACAGCCCCTGCTTCCAAGAGAGCAATCTTGCCAGCCTCTGGGTGTCCATGCAAAAGGAGGTTCTGAGAGTCCTTTCCTGTCACTTTCCATCACTGCAGCTCTGATCTCCCCTCCGTTTTCTCTCCTTTGTCCCCCTCCCCCCCCCAATTCTCTTCTGAAGATGATGTCATGCTCCAGCGCTGCCCAGCGACAGGCAGGGGACAGAGTAGATGGTGACATCCAGGGTAAAGAAGCCAGGTGGGGATGAGAGGGATGGCTTATGAGATGCTGGGATCTTCATTCTTCTAATGAGCTACAGTGATCTCATGTAAAAGAATTCAGTGGATGGTAAAAATAAATCAAGCCCATAAATAAACTGGGGGAGGGGTTTGGAAGCCGCTGAACAAGTAACAATGTTTCTCTGAAGCACCTGCTCTTTATCATAGTCAGCCGCTGGGGGCGCCCACTCCTTCCCATCACTCCAGCCGGCCACCTTCCCCTTGCCTAGTGCCCAGGCTGACCTGAGGTGATGGAGCCCCTCCTCTGCTTCTCCAGGCCCGATGCTCCATGTTGTCAGTCCCTGGCATCTGCTCAGTCGCCTGGACTTTCCTCTTCAAGACTGGGAGCTCAAAGCAGCAGTGCATGCCTGTAATCCAGTACTTGGGCGGGAGGCAGGGTAAGGCTTTGAGTTTGAGGCCAGCCTGAGCTATATGCAGTGAATTTCAGGATACATGTGGAGAATATGACTCAAAAAAGCAAAAAAGACAATGAAAGAAAGAAGAAAAGAGAGAAGGTTCACAGTGGGCCTTGCATGTAAAGGGTGCTCAGAAGGAGGGGAGACCCTGAGTCCCTTCTTTGGCTTTCCTCGTGCCACACCCCTCCCCCAGCACACCCAAGCCTTCTTCCCCAGTTGCTGAATCCCCTGCCTCCATTGCTCTCCTCTCCATCCCCATACTCCCGAACCCAGCCAAATCCCTGAGCACTATCGATTCGGTCACTGGGCCTGGAGCTGATGCCAGCTTCCTGGACCCATCGATCATTCTGGCTTCTCCCCTTAAAGTGCACAGTCCAGAGAGAGTCAGGGAAGCTTGAAGACTGTGCAGGTAGCTGGAGCTGGCCCAGAGGAATGGGGAGGACAACATTCTCCAGCCAGGAATGTCTCTCACTGGAGCTGATCCACTTTCTCCATCATTGTCCCAGACTCTCCCCCGTGGGGCAGGGTAGGAGGTTAACACCCCGTCTACAAATTAGACCCCTGACTCATCAGAGGGGGGGCCTGCTTGGCTGAATGTATGAATGAATGGGATCCGTGGGGGAGGAGCTATTCCAACCCAAGTGAACGTGACATGGCCATGGTCTAACTTCAGGTGTCCTGGCTCTAAAAGATCAAGGCGCTGGGATGTAGTTTAGTTGTTAGAGCGCTTGCCTAGCATGCATGAAGCCCTGGACTTGATCCCCACCTCTGCTTCAAGCAGGCATGGTGGTTCATTCCTGTAATTCCAGCATTCAGAAGCCAAGGGGGAAAGGATCAAGGCTATCCTTGGCTGCATAGGGAGTTTGAAACCAGCTTCAGTTATGTGGAACCCTGTTGGGGGCAGGGGTAGAAACAGAGAAAGAGAATGAATGAATATAAACGAGTGTCCTTTGATTATTCCTGAGCTGACTCCCTCTTCAGTCCAAGTTGGTCCTCCCAGCTTCCCGTAGAAAGACATTCCATACATACCCAGCAGGACATCAGGACTCCTGGGTTACTTCCCTCTCCAAAGTTGTTAAACTGATCCTATAGTCTTTCAGACTCAACCCCCTCCTCCTCCCTGCCATCACTGTCCTAGGGTTCCCCATGGTCATTGATGTCTTCCCGGGAGTGGGGAAGGAGGGCTGGTGTGTGGGGCAGGGGTCGAGGAGGTGATCTTCTGGGTAAGTCCATGTGTGGTGGTCTGGGCCTTCACACATGGAATGGACAGAGGGGGATTCCAAAGTGCCCAGTGCCCTTAGCCATGGAGGTCTCCTTCTCCTGTCCTCTCGGTGTCCGTGAGGGTGAGTGAAGGACAGAGGGTGGGGTCTACACTTACTCAGCCTGCTCCCCACTATTACCCAGGCCATCCGCCTCAGCCTCCGTCACTGGCCACCCTGGCTTGACACAGGGTCCGAACTGTCAGGAAGATGGCCTGTGTACCTAGCTTTACTCGGGCAGCAGGCTTCTTCCCCAGTTTCTTTTGTTATCAGAGAACTGTTTGCATTGTACCAACTTAGTATTGCTTCTCTTAACACAGCTTTACTTTGAACTTGACTGTATATACTTAAGAGGAAAAGTATCTCATTACCACCTGGAGGAACAAGATGGATAAAACCAGCTATTAGACCCCCTCCCTCAGATTTGTTCTAATCCCTATGAAAATAAAGGTGTAATCAATAAAGTATAAAACACTGCTGTAAACCTCCAGCTGAAGCAGGAGGATCAGAGATCAAGGCCAGCCTGATCTATAGATCAAGACACAAAATAGGTAATAAACTATATATATATATATATATATATATATATATATATATATGTCCTATGTGTCACACACACACACACATATATGGAGACACACATACATAGATGTACATATAAAACAGTGTCTTCCTGTGGACCTCACAAAGGATGGTAACTGTGGTGAAAGGGATAAAGGGTGCCTGGAAGGTCAGAGGTGGTGACTCAGACCTGAGTGTTGGGGGATGGGGTGCCAGAGAGCAAACATGGAAGCCTACACGACGTGTTGTGTGCTCAGTGTTCGCTCTGCTCAATACTCGGTCTCACGGCAGTACAAACCTAGTAGCTGCTGGGGTCACTAGGTCTGTGCTACTTCCTACAGCTTTGGACTTGTCATCGGGTTTCTGCAGTTTGACAGCCGTCTCTGAAATGGGGACTACAATAACGCTTACCAGACAGGCGTGTTGAGAGTCATGGCGATGAGGGGGCGGGGCTTGTAAGCCAATGACGTAAGTGCCTATGGGAGCTGCTGCCGTGTGGTTTAATGAGGGGCTGGATCCTCTGGGGCTATGGACCCCAGTTGGACATGCCGGGGCCACAGCCTGGAAGAGTATGCTGTGTGTGTCAGGTGGCTCGCCCCCCACATCCCTGTGTGTGCTGGTGGTGGTGGAGTGGTTCTCTCTGTGTGTGCATGTGTGTACATATGTGTACTATGTGTGTTGGCACTGAGGTAGCTAGCCTTGAAATATGGCTGTCTCTCCTTTCCTCCTGTGGCTGGGCGTCAGGTAAGTGAGGCCTGGCAGCAGGCCTGGTAAACAGTTGTGTGGGGGGAAGAGGGCTTTCACGAACCTTGCTGAGTTCCAGGACTCCCAGCCTTGTCTCCTTTTGCCCCAGTCTGGCCTTCCAGGAGCTCTTCAGTGGGACAGTGTTGGTGTGAGTGCAAATCTAGCTGGCAGGGCCAATGGTCCAGGCCTGCGTAGGCCATGTTTAGGGGTTGCCACGCCATGGGTTGTGGGGGCCTAGGTGGGATATATGGAGACTGCTGTCTCTCAATGGGGTGACTTCTGGGGGGGGAGGCAGACTCTGTATTCCTTGTCAGGAACATGACTAGTGTGGATAGCCAGCAGGGCCTGACTTCTTTAGAGGTAAGGGCGGGGAGAGCAGGCCTAGGCAGGGGGAAGACTGGGAGACGGAGGAAGAGGTTCAGGGATTTTGGGAGGGGGCTAAGAGTGTGGAGACCTCAACCCCCGGCCTCCCCACCCACTTCTGTTTGTTCTTTGTCCCCTGTGCGTCACTTGTGGGTCTGGAGCTTGCTTATGTGTTGGGAGGAGAGCTTGGAGGGGGAGGGGAGGGGGGGAGGGGCCTGTTTTGTCTGCTTGCTTTCTCTCAAGTTTGTCCCAGTCCATCTCTCTGTCCTCTCTGTGCCCAGCCTCTGCTGTCTGTCCACCTGTCTGTCGCTGGGGAGGGAGGGAAAGGGAGTCTCTGTGCCCCAGATTCTGGGTCTCCATCTACCCCTGGGAAGAAGCCCTTGACTGACCTTTGCCCTTACCCCACTCCCATCATCTCCTGGCCCCTGCCCTAGACAGCCCCAGCTGGAGGATGCAGTCCTGAATGTGGGGACTGGGCAGAAGGCGCTCACGGCGGCGCGCACAGTGCGGCTCAGAGAGGTGGCCAGGACTCCTCCAATACTCCTCACTTCTCCCTGTCCCTCTGCCCAACAACATTCCCTGCTTGCCCCAAAGCCCACCAAAGAGCAACCTGCATCCAGGACCTGTTCCCCACCCTTAACATGGACTTCTAGGTTTACCTCATATACTCTTCTGCCCCCATTCATCTCTCTCAAAGACCTTTCTGCCCTATCAGGCCCTGCCCTGCCCCACAGGGACCCTTGTGGGAGATGGGCAGCCCCTTGGCAAGACACTCTGGTGACCCTAGATCCTCTCCCCCCTCTCGCAGATCCTGAGCGGAGCAGCCCCCCCATGCTGTCTGCCGACGATGCCGAGTACCCTCGGGAGTACCGGACCCTGGGGGGGTGGGGGCGGCGGGGGCAGCGGGGGCCGGCGCTTCTCCAATGTGGGGCTGGTGCACACCTCCGAGCGGCGGCATACCGTGATTGCTGCCCAGAGCCTGGAGGCGCTCAGCGGGCTCCAGAAGGCGGATGCTGACCGCAAGCGAGATGCATTCATGGACCATCTGAAGAGCAAGTACCCCCAGCATGCCCTGGCCCTGCGAGGCCAGCAGGACAGGATGCGGGAGCAGGTGAGTGTGAGCAGGGGCGGGGTCTGTAGGGGGTCACCCAGTACTTCGTGGCTCTGGGGCAGAGCTGGGAGCTTGGAGTTGGGGAGTTTTGTTCCCTGGACCGTGGCCCTCTTTGGCCTTTTCTAGAGCCTGGTGGAGAAAGCTGTGGGGCTTTTACTCCAGGTCCCTGCCATCTGCTTGACACATTGGCATGTGGGTTTGGACAGAATGTGGGAAGAAGGTGTGGCAGATGTGTCTTGGAGGCCAAAGGAATTATTGAGAAGAAGGGAAGGGACACTTTTGGTGCTGAGGGTACTGGACTTGGTTGTGGCACGGCTCTCAGGCTTGGGAGCTTCTGAAAGCTGAATCTAACCTGTCTCCAGTCCTAGCCTGAACAGAATCCAGAACTGGGGTACTCACTACCCCCTTTGAGAACAGACTGTGTGACTGAGCTGGAAGCCTGTATGTGCGTTGGCTCTCTCCCGCCCCCCAGTAAAGCTTAGGGAGGGGCTGCCTCTGGCCCTCGACATACATGGGGTAGGTGATTCTCTTCTCAGCCTCCCTCAGCTTGGACTCCTTAATGCCCCTCTCCACCCAAGCACTAGGTCTTCTTTGAATTCTTTCTCTCAGGTCTAGTATTCTATGTTTAGGCCTGCATTGGCGAGGGGGCCACTATGGCTGCTGTGCCACATCGCTGGGAGACACAGTGTATAACGGTCCACTCGCCAGCAGTCCTTCAGTCACACTGACGAGTGTTGGCCCACAGTTCCTTTGCCTGGTGCTACGCAGTGGGACTAGGGATCAGAGGAGGGACATGCCCCCCTTCTTGCCAAGATCAAGGACACACGGCCTGCCATGTGTCTGGGGCCATGCTCACCCCCAGACATCCTCTCTACTTCAGTGTGGCTTTTGCATTTTTCCAGATCTTGAGTCCCTCTGGGAGCAGGATTCAGGTTGGGGAGCATCAGGAGTTTTAGACTCACATAGACTCTTCCCCTTGGCTGGGGAAGAGAAGATTAAACATTGTATGGGGGTCCTGGCCAGTTGGGAGGGGGTTTAGGATGAGGGATATCAGTTACACAGGCCTTATGGGAAGACTGCCTGGAGGTGGTGGTACCCATATGAAGCCCAGCAGGGTGAAAGGGTTTGAAGAGAGGAAGGGGAAGCTGTGTGAGCAGGTGCTGGGAGCAGCATGGACTTGAGTTGATTCGAGCATGGCATAGAAGTCCTTCTGGCCGGAACAGAAGCCTGGGGGTGGGTGCAGTGGGAAACGGGGTACCAGACTGCCAGCAGAGGACAGGGACATTATATTTGTTATGGACAGTTAATTGAATCTGGGAGTTGGGAGGTTTGAGGCAGGTGGGGGAGGAAAGGAAGGAGAGGGGAGTTTGGATAGAGGGGGAGGGGAGACTAGGCTGTCTGGATCTATAAGGGAGTGACAGAAAAGAACACAGCTAAGGGCTTGGTACTAAGTGCTGGCCTGGTAGCAGGAGGCTGTGATTCCCAGCACTGCAGTGGTGCATGCCTGCAATCCCATCACTCCAGAGGGGGAGGCAAGATATCAGAAGTTCAAGGCCATCCTCAGCTACCAATGTGGGCTACGTGAGACACTGTCTCAAAAACTAAAATCAAACCCTTGATTGACAGGAAGATAGCGGTTCCTGGGAAAGAAACAGAAGTGAGTGAGAATCACGGGGTGGGGTGAGAAGTTGGGAGGGAGCTTCCTAGGATGCCAAGTGGTGTGACACCTTATATACATTTCTGGACTCCAGAGGGACCAAGGCTTCAGGAGACCAAGGGCAGTCAAGACAGAGACAGAAGCGGACGTGGGGCATGTGAGGGCCGTTAAAGCAGGGTGTGATGGTCAGAGCGGGGCTGTGCGGCAAGTGGGGCCTATGCTTCAGAAGTCTAGGTGGGTCTGGGCGGGCCGAAGAGGAAGTGGTGGCCAGTTTCAGTGGTTTGGAGACCAGGTGTGGTGAGGAACTGGACACCCTGGTTACACGCCTGTCTGGGAAGTTTAGCAGAAAAAGCTTCAAGAGGCACCGAGTCTGGCACGGAACATTTATGTACCTTGGTAGGAGGAGGCTGGTGAACACTCAGCAAGCAATTAGCAAATACTTCTGGAGAGAATGGTAGCTCAGTCATGCTCAGGTTCATCCCTTTCATCTGCCCCACCCCCACCTGCTCCCTTAGAGGCTCAGTGGCAGGACCCAGGGCCCTTTCAATTGGGCAGAGCACCCGAGCATGGTGCAGCAATGGTACGAAGCCAGGTGAACATTTGGAGAAGGAATGGTTGGTTGACAAAGACTCCGGGGCCACAGGGCCAGAAGCAGGAGAAAACAGTCTCAGAGGAGTCAAGTCTGGTGACCTTGGGTAGAAGTCTCTTTTACAGAGATGGCACAGACAACAGGAGTGAGATCACTCCTGTGCAGTGATCCCCATCACTGTGAGGTCAGAGGTGACCTCCTGGGGAAGGAGAGAAGGCAAATGCTCAAGGAGGCAGTTGGGAACTGGAAATCAGGGTTCCGTCAGGCGGTGAAACCCTGTCCTGTCAGAGGAAAGACAGACATGCAGAAAAACTTGGGACCTACAGTACCAGCCACTCTGAAGGACCCCCTCCATGACTCTGCCCTCTTCCCTATACCAGGGCTTGCCCTGGGAGCATCTGTCCCTACACTCCTCCATCCCCAGCGGCTCCTGCCCGCTCCCCCTAATGGGGTGTCCCTTGCTTCACACACACAGGTCGGCGGCTGGACCGTGGACCCTGTGTGTCTCCTCAGCTCCCTCTGTTCCCACCTCCACGGCGATTCCACCCCCTCCGGGGCTGGCCAGCCTTCCCAGGTGAGCCACCCGTCCCCCCAAAATCCATGGTGGAGCTTGGCTTTGGGGAGACCCTTTTTTGTAGGGGGGATGTTGATAATTTTTATTTTGCACCCCTGCTCTTTTATGTATGAACTCTCCATTTTCAGGAAACTTCCATGCCCCGTATTCATGTCTCCCCTGACTCATTCCCTATCATCATCTCCCCAAATCGAGCTGGAACCTTTTTGAGGGATAGTTATGATTTAAAACACAAACACTTGTTTCTGTCTTTTAAACAAGAGAACTGCTCTTGTTCTTGGGCTTTTAGGAGCCTCTTATTATTCTCGTCTTATCGCCCCATCTATGCCACACTCTTCTATTCTGAGTAGAGCCCCTTCCCCGTCCGACCACCAGGAAGTTCTGTGTGGTGTCTTTCTCTCCCCCTTCTTGTAATTTTTAAAAAGAACTAGGGTATCTAGCCATTGCTTCTCAGCCTGTTTCCCCCTTCCTCACAGAGCCTCATTTCCCCTGATAGAAGGATGTATTTCAGCATATGCACCCAGCTCAGGCCTGGACACTGGCAAGGAGAAACAGCAGATTTGGGAGCATCAGGAGTGCAATCTGTATCTGGAGCCAGGGAGTTTAGGACTTGCTGGCTACGGTCGTAGGTAGGAGAAGGGCAGCAGCTGCCAGGTTATTGGATGGAAGAGGTCCGGTTCTTCACGCACTGGAGTATGCCAGAGCTTCACTTTCCCAAGGAAAATAAAATGAAAGGACACAAGGAACCTCGAGAGCTGGGGGCACTTGGGATGAGAGGAACTTGTCTAGTAACAGCCTGGCACACTGGGCATCATTCTCGGGGCGTGGAGGGGCTGAATTTCCAGCTCTCAGCCCTATTTTGGCTGAGTTTGGGGAACAAGGGAGCAGGGTGTGTGCCCGTCCTTAAGGCTGGATGACAGGTGGGAGAGCATTGTTCTGAGTGGCCACGAGTGTGGTGGAGACCGCAGACAGGCAGAGGGCTGGGCCAATGGACGAAGACAGGCCCAGGATGGACAGCCGGGTCCTTGGTGCCTCAGGTCCCTTAGATGGAGTGTGGGGCAGGGATAGGGCTGGGGTGAAGGGCAGGAATGGGCTGAGTTGTGCTCCGTGGTGGAGTTAAGGTCTTTCTGCATGTCTGGAATTCTGCTCTGATGGAAGAAGGAGTTTGTGGGGGCCTTTGTCCCAGAGTTTAAGAAGCACAGCACCTTGTCATGTCTTGATACATCTTATCACATTCTTCCCCAGCAGGGATAAGTCTGAGGTTCAATTTTGTAAAGCTAAGGCAGAGACACCCAGCAAAGGACCAGAACCACACACAGCACCGCAAGATCAGACATCAACAAGGAAATTTAGGCAATCCTAGGCCTCCCCGACAAAGTCGGAGATTAAGTCTTGGAAGGATTAAAGGGGCAAAAGGGCGCTGCCAAGAGGAGGCTAAGGGCCGAGAAGGTGGGAGCAACTAAGACCTTTGGGGATGGGTACAGTGAAGAGGATCCTGGGAAGGGACCAGAGGTTAAACCGAGCCACAGCCCCTCCCCCTCGCGCTTCTACTAGGCTGTCTAACCTCCCTCCTTTCTGCTGCAACCCGAGTCCCGGGCGGCGGGCCGGCGTATCGGGTGACCGCGGCGACGTAGCCACCAGCCTCCTTTGCTCTTCGGCGGGGCTGCGCCGGCGGGGCCGCGCCGCGGGAGGGGGCCGAGAGGGGATGCGCACGGCAGCGCAACGCGCGGCGCCAGGTGGAGTCGCGGTTACCGGGGCGACCGGGGCCCGGGCCCGCTCGGCGGCGGCGGCTCTCGCACTGCAGCAAAGGGCACTGGCGGCGGCTGCGGAGGCGGCCGGGGGAGGGGAGAACCTGCGCGGGTGGGAGTAGCAGGCGGTTCTCCCTCCCCCGCCCGACGCGGGACCAGGCTCTGCGCGTGCACCTGTGGCCGCAGGTAAGGGCGAGCGACTGTGAGGACTCGGTAGCCGCGTGAGGTTCGGCGGGGGGCGGGAACCGAGTCCAGATCCACGGTTCGGAGGATTGGGCTAGGGGTGCGGGCGTGCGGCTGCAGCGGGTTCCCGGTCTCGGAGAAACGCCCCCTCCCTTAACCCACCGCAGCAGGTGCCTTCCACGTGGATTGGCCCCCGCCCCCAAATGCGGCAGGCGCCCCCTCCCCCAACCTCGGAAAGTCATGACCTTCCCTGGGTGCACCCCGGCCCAGGGCGCCGTGCGGCTCCCGCTACGCACCCCCTCCTCGCACACTCAGCCTCCGCAGGGCTCCGAGCCGCTGCTGTCGCTGCAAACCCTTAGGGGAGGGCCGTTCGCGGCGTGGCAGTTGCAGGCTGGCGGCCACCCAGGCCCGTGGCGTAGCCCTAGACTGGTAGCTGGCCTTTCCGTGGACTTGGATTTACAGGAGTTGGGAGGTGGGTGTGTGCGCCAATCTGGTGATTAAGGAAGGGGGTGCGGCTGGCTCGTGGGTGGCTTTCCTCTCAGGAGGAAGCTCCTTAGAGACCTGAGGTCAAGGAGGGGTCGTGTGGACATCTAGCCTACACCTAGATGTCTGCCCAGGGGAAGGGGAAGGAGCTGTGGTAAGGTCCTGATGGGGATCCGTACCTCCCCTCCAGGGATGGAGTGGGTGGAGGAGGGCCATCTGTAGGGGAAGAGAACCCAAGACTAAATACTGGAGAGGTGAGGAGTGACGGGTTAACTCTTCAGCCCTAGAGGGAAAAAGCTGTTTCCTCCACTCTGGGGGAGTTAGCTTACTTCTTGGTCTCCCTGGGGGATGTCCCCTCCCCCATGACTGAAAGGTTGTTCCTCAGGGATGGTTGACTCTTGTTTGTGCCTCAGCTCCGGCAAGCCTTCACCAGCAGCAGCGGGTCCTGCTTGTCTCTCTCCTGCCCTGCTCTACTTTCCCAGTGCCTGAGTTCTGGGAAGGCTGATGTCCCTGAACGTAGAGATGTTTGTTTTGGCTTTGGTGAGGTTTTTGTTGAGTAAAAAGAAGAGGGACCCCTGTCCTTGCTTTATGTATCTATCTATCTATCTGTCTGTCTGTCTATCTATCTATCTATCTATCTATCTATCTATCTATCTATCTACCTACCTACCTATCTATCTGCTTATTTTTGAGACAGAGTCTCTCTATTCTGTAGCTCTGGCCTTGGAACTCTCCAGGTAGACCAGGTTGGCCTCGAACTCCCAGAGATCCACCTGCCTCTGTGCTGGGATTAAAGGCGTGCACCACCACGCTCAGCTTAGGGTTTTTTAGACCTGTGTCATTTTTAGTCTCAGAACACTGGGGGCTAGGAGTTGGAGGGAGTGGGGCCAGGCCTAGTATTTAGAACTACCCCCTCCCTGCTATCCTTGCCTGGTTTATTTGAATGGCATTTATTCATTAATGCAGATTTGTTAAGGGCATTGCTACATACCAGGTACTAAGCTTGGCACAGACTGAAAAATCTACAACTAGGAAGGACATCAGGGTAGGGACCAAAGGTGTCCCTCTTGCACAACAGAGGAGGAGCCTCTGCTTTCTATCATCAGGGATGGTCCCATGGGTTAACATCCGGAAGGTGGATGAAGGCCCATCTCCCAGGGGCTTCTCCCCACTGCAATTTTCGCCTCCCAGGATAGAGTTGCTGGGAGACCTGGTTCCTGCTGGACCAGCTGAGAGGACCCTTTTCCCTATTTGAAGAGAGACCAAGGAAGGAGGTGGCACTTGTTTGAGAATGCTCTGACACTCAGAGCTGCAAGTTATAGGGCTGGGGGATGGTGTCATCAGTCCAGCCAAGTCCCCCAAACACAAAATTAGCTTCTCTCCTAGACACTGATACCACCACCCTGTTATGTCCCTTGGGCTTGTTGTGACCCAAGCCTTCCAGGTACTGCCTGGTGGGTGTATACAGGCTTAGAGATGGGACTACTTTTATGACTCTCGGTTCAGGAAATTAACTCCCTGACACACAATGATGGTGCCATCATAGCCACTGGATACTGGCTTAAAGGTGCTACAAATGTCCTGAACTAGCTAGTAGAGGGGAACAGAGAAAGGACATTTTATCTGAGTCTCTGTAGTTCATACATTGCTCTGATTTTAAAAACATATATTTATTTAGTATGCGTGAATGGGGCAGGGCATACACTTGCCATGGTATATGTGCATGAAGTCAGAGGACAGCGTGAGAGACTTGGTTCTTAATCCATCATGTGGACTCCAGGCATCAAACTCAGATCATCAAGCTTGGCAGTAAGCACCTTTACCCATTGAGCTGTCTTGCTGACCCTTGTGTACTATTTTGTGTATATTTCTATAGCTAGTATTTGTGTGTGTGAATGGGTGTCCATGCCTCTATGGCTCTGTGTTATGTTGAGGGGGGTGTGACTGGCCTTACTACCTTCTGTGTCTTTGACTGGGCATAGTGCTAACTAGGGTCCTTGGGAGTACATTTGGGTCTGTGTGGATGTCTCTGAGTGGCTGTGTTCCCAGGACTATTTCTCATGGCTTCCCTTAGTGCTGTACACCTTGGTGGGTGGGTGTGCTTGTTGTTCTGGACATGTTTGTGACATCCTTGTCTACCCAAGGATGTGTCTTGAGTCTGCCAGCTCACTGCAGGAACAGTGTGCATGTTGCAGGGAGTTGTGGATGGCTCCTGTGCCCACTGTCAGATGGGAAGGGAGTGTGGGGCTTTCTCTGCAGAGCCGTCCATCATTCCTGGTCTGCAGACATGACTTTCAGCACAAACCTCTCCAAGTCCTCAGCCTGGCTCTGATGTCTCCGATGAGTCCCATTCTCCATGCTTCCCCTTCTATCCAAGGTCACAGAAGCTGTAGCTCAAGTCTAAGCTTTGTCCCTTCCTGTGATATCTGAGGGCACCCCTTCCCACTTCAGGGGTACCCTGTGTCCGTACAGCCTTTGCTGCTTGCAGTGTGGCTATTTTTCATCTTTTGGACCCAGTTATTTGGGGGAGATAGGGATTGTGGATCAGGTATGTGTGTAGGGTGGTGACAAATAAATCTTATTCCAGATCCAGGTTGGCATCATCCCCACCTAAAGAGTTGTCAGTCTAAAGTCTGTACCTAGCAGTAGCCATCCTCAGCCCCTCCCAGTTCTCCCCTGCCCCCAACTCATCCAGGGGGCACAGGGCGCCACAGCATGGTGTTCTCCCAGCAGGAACCCTCAAAGTCCCTCTCCTCTACCGTTGGCTCTGAGGCCTGGGGAATCTTGTCTGCTTGTGCCAGGCACCCTAGGGCCAAGCCATCTGCTGCCTCTGTCCTCCTGCTGAGGCTGGCACTGGTCAGCAGGGTACTCTCAGCTTTGCCAAGAACCAGCCCGCCCTTAGGGCTGTCCTTTCCTTGTTGCTAACCATCTGGAAGACCTTCTGGTCTCTAGGGAGGGCAGGGCGACCCTGGGTTACTGTGAGTGAGGAGAAGCCTACGGCCCCCTTACAATTCTTCTCCACTGTCTCTGTAGCTCCAAGGGCTGCCCGAGCTCCCATCCACTGCCCACTGCCAGAGGTTACTGGCAATGGTCCACTTTTCCCCACAATCCTTGCACATCCTGGCACACAGGCCTGCCTACCCTGGCCTTGGTCCCAGCCACCACCATCTACTCCCTGCCCTTAGTCCTGCTGGGGTCCCGTTCCCTTTTCTTGATTTCATCCCTGTGTTTTCTGTACTTTGATCTGTAGTTGTAACTCCATTGAAGACTGGCCAGTATCTAGCCTCTGCCTTTGACCCCTCACCTCCATCTGCTTCTTCCCAGTCCTCTGCCCGCTCCAGGGTACCTACTTAAGCCTTATATAGTTCTGCTCAGCACACCTTGCTGCTGTCTCCAGCTCTTCACTTTCCAAACCAAGCTGGAATGCTGTCTTTTCTGGGACATTTTCCCAACCTCTCTCTGATCCCACAGCCCAGATCCACCACTGCCCACCCCTCAAGCCTTTGACAGTCTCATAGTCATCTGTGCTTTTCATTAGCTGTAGCTCTCTCCGAGGTCAATTGTTTTGCCTAGAAAGACACTTAAAACATCTGAACCATCCTCTCCTGCTCCCCCACCAGTAGACCTGGAACCTGCCCATCCTTGGTGAACCAAGAATGTTCTAGCCTCAGGAGAGAATTGAGAGGCACAGGCCTTGCCTACTGTCTGTCCCCCAGAGGGTGGAGACCTGTGACCCAGGGTTTCATACTAAGAGTCTTGTCCCTGTCCCCTCCTGGCAGCCCTCTCATAACCATCTCTTCTCTTATTCCCATCAGCAACCAAACTACTGGAGTTTCAAGGTCAGTGCGAGATGCTTCTGCCTCTGTGACAACTGCATGTCCTGCCCTCCCTTCCCCACCTCTGCCTTGCACATGCTTTGCACTGGGGTGTGCGTCTGCAGGGGCCCCCTCCTTTGTGGCGGTGGGCCTGGGGCTGCTGGCTATGGCTGCTGCTTGGGGGAGAGTCTGGGTTTGTCTGCCAGGGCCTGGTGGATCCAGAGTGGGCATTCTGTCACCTCTGCTGGAGGTTTGGCCTAGAGATGCTCAAGCCCCCAGCTCTCCCATCCTGCTAGGGGTGTTTTAGAATGAGAAGGGCTCCTGACACTTCTCAGTCTAGAGACTTGGCTGACAGAGGCAGGGACCTGAATGCATGAGTTCTCTGTGGGCCCTGGACCCTATACTCACATTGTCCTTCAAAGGAAGGTTTCATGGCTGCCTTTCTCAATCTCCACCATGTTAGGATAAGGCAGCACACTTGCCCTGTACCCTTAAATTTGTTCACCTTGGGAACCAGGCCTGGGGAATGGATGCCTTCCTACTTCCTCCAAGCAGTTTGCATTACTGAGAACTGAAATGTTTTCTCCCCATTCCCAGGATACCATGGTGCTCCTCGGGGAGCACCCTTAGGCACACCCTCCATCTTCCTGGGCCCCCACACCTTGGCTTATTGTGTAGATCTGTGTTCCCTGGAACCTCAGACATTATGAAAGGGTAGCAGGCTGTCTATCACCCAGACTCACTGGGTCTCCTGTGTGCGAACTTTTTTTTCTTAAGAAGTCTTTGAATCAGAGTACCATGGGATCCTGTCAACTCGCCTCTCTGGAAGAGGCAGGAGAAATGAGAGGGTTAATGCTTGTGTCTGATGGCCTGGTGGTGAATTCTCAGTGACCCAGCAGTAACTTATAGTTCTCTGGGCCTTGTTTTTTCCTTTGGAGAGCAAACAGTGTCTCTATCATAGAGGGGTCCCCCACTTGCCTTGTGGGGATTAAACTCAGCCCTTGAGCATGAAACTCAAGGGTGATATTGATTTTGTTTGTTTTGCTTGCTTTTGAGACAGAGTCTCCCTATGTGGTCTGGAATAGGCTCTGTAGACTAGGCTGACCTTAAACTCACAAAGAGCTCTGCCTCTGGAGTGTTAGGTATAAAGGTGTATGCCACCATATCCAGCACTCCAACCCTTTCATGCCTTTTAATTCGAGACAGTATGTCACTAAGTTGTCCAGGCTACCTCTGTAGCTCAGGCAGGCCTTGAATTTTTGACCCTCCTGCCTCAGCCTCCTAAATTGCTGGATTACAGGCATGTGCCATCAGGGCTGACTCAGAGTTGTTGAAAGATCGAAAAGATGAAAAAATGTATTTCCAAGGTAGTTTGTGCTGTTAGCAAGCTTTCCCTGGTAGCTGACTTAATCAGTGTTAGAGTCATGAATGCTGACCTGATTCCAACCTCTGAATGCTACAGTCACCTTAGGCTTTCATAGGAAGTCTCCAGTCCCAGGCTTCCACTCACAGAGATTCAGATTAAGGGACCATGGGTCCTGGAAAGAGAGTTTGTGAAACTCCCATGTGCTTCTGCCCAAACCTGTAGAGAGCTGTTGGGAGCCCAGATCTTGGTTTGACTGTTTTAGCCCTGGCTCCTTCTGCCTGGCCTCAGGCAAGGTCTCAGCTTGGTGGAACTCACTGCCTCCCTTGGCAGCCCCATCCTGTATTCAAGATCTGTTTCAATTCCTGTTTCCTTTCTTGCAGCCTCCCTTAGCCAGCACATCTAACCCATGACCAGCAGCGCATATGTGGCTGTCAGTTGGGTCAAAGACAAAATCATGGGTTTATTTAAAACTTTATAAGGTTTATTGTGTGATTTTTTGGTAACTTTTGTTCAGTTCTCAACTGTGAATTTGGTAGACACATGTCAAAAGTTAGACATGCCTGTTAGTGACTTCTAGATGTTTCATTTTCTCTGCTTTGATGGAGGCCAGGGAGCAGAAAGAAGCACTTTCCTTCTCCTTGGCACCCTTCACTCCCAAGGTTTCTCCGTGTAGCTCTGGCTGTCCTGGAACTCACTCTGTAGACCAGGCTGGCCTGGAACTCAGAGATCTGCTGCCTCTGTACTGGGATTAAAGGTGTGTGTCACCACCACCACCCCGGCCAAGGGTTTTCTATAAAGGTAGAAAGAATGGAAAGGTGCCCATGGGGCTAGGCTGGAGGCAGGAGCAGGCAGAGGAAGGGATGTGGCTATCTTTTCCCCCCTAGAGTTCCTATTTTTGTGGCCAGCCATCCCTAGGACCCTGCCCTCGTCATGTTCACTCCATCCTCTTCCTGACCTCTCGGCTGTGCCCCCACTCCGACCCAGAGGCCATCCCTAGTCTTCATCTCTGTGCCCCCACTCCGACCCAGAGGCCATCCCTAGTCTTCATCTCTGTGCCCCCACTCCGACCCAGAGGCCATCCCTAGTCTTCATCTCTGCCAGCTGCTTCATTCTGTAGCCTCTCATTGACCCCAGCCTGACGACCAGACCACTGACCTTTCAGTTGCCTGGCAACCCCATGCCCACAAGCTTGGTTCAGACTCCATCACTCCTGCATAGGTTGCCCATTGGCTTCTCTGAGGATGAAGTGGGGAGGGGCTCTGTCACCATTGGTCAGCCTCGACCTGAAGCCTAGGCTCCAAAGTCTGTACTCGAGATCTCCCAAGCAGGCCCAGTTCATACACTACCTCCTTCCCTCTGAGACCCATATTCCTCCCTGCTGCTCAAGGTATTGTGTTTGAGGCTGGAAGCCCCTTGGTGACCTCTAAGTCTGATTTTTCCATGTCCCCAAGTTCTCAAGGCCACTTTGAGGACAGCTGGGCACACTGCTTGTTGGGAGAGGCTCTCCCTTTCTGAGATTGCTAATTGGATGGAACATTAAACTGGCTTTAATAGGAAGACAGAGATTAATTAGGGGATAATCAGGATTTGGGGGAAGAAGGGACTGAACAGGAGAATAAATTATTTTTTTTAGAGAAGTTTGTTAGGAGGGGTGGTGCTGGCCTGTAATTCTACACTCAGGAGGCAGAAACAGGAGGATGGACACAAGTTTGAGGCCAGCCTGGCCTATATATCAAGCACTTGGTAGGCCAGTCATGGCTGCACAGTGAGATGCCGTCTCAAAAACACAAGACAAAAAAGGAGAGATGCCTTTGCTATTGTCTTTTTAATTGTATAATTGATATATTCAAATTGTTCAAAATTCAGTTTCATAAAGGAATAAAAGAAAGAAAGAAAGCTCTCTCAAACCTGGCAGTGGTGATGCACACATTTAGTCCCAGAACTTGGGAGGCAGAGGCAGGCGAATCTCTGAGTTAAAGACCAGTCTGGTCTACAGAGCGAGTTCCAGGACAGCCAGTATTACATACACAGAGAAACTCCATCTTGGAAAAACCAGGAGAAAAAAAGGAAGAAAAAAAGAACGAAAGAAAGAAAGATCTCTCAGCCCCCAAGATTGCAATGTTGATGGTTTCAATGATTTGTATGACTTAAGTGTTAAAAATAAGTTTATTTGTGTTTGTTTTCAAACTAGGTCTCACAGCATAACCCAGTATAGCCTCAAACTCATGGCTATCCTCCTGTCTCAGCCTTATCTGTGCTGGAATTATAGGCATGCACCAGCATGCCTGCCTGTGAAAATAAGACTATTAGAAAGAAAGAAATAAGACTATTAAAAAGAAAGAAAGGAGACTATTACAAAGAAAGAAAATAAGACTATTTAAAAAGGAAGAAATAAGACTATTAAGTACAGTTGGACAACATGTATAATTTTTCACAGTAGTAAGCTTATATTTGAATGTAAAATGCACATACCACACAATGGTGTAGATTTGATTCATTATCTGCCTCCTTTAAATAATTTAAATGAGAGCTGAGCATGTTTGAGAATGCCTTTAATTCCAGCACTTGGGAGACAGAGGCAGGTGGATTTCTCTGTGAGTTCAAGGCCAGCCTGGTCAACTTAGCCAGTTCCAGGTAGCCAGGGCTATGTAGTGAGACTCCGTCTTAAAAAAAAATAGTAACATTTTAACCCACTGGGTGTCTATATAGTAGCTGGGTTTAGTGTGGGAACTAGGGCAGAAAGGCAGAGGTTGTTGCAGCCCTGGGTGAAAAAGTAAAATCTAGAAAGACAATTGAGACAAGGAGAGACACCACCTTCCAGGAGCCAGGGGTCAGGCATCCTTTCCGCTGAGCCTTTATTTCGGGGAAGGGCACTGGGAATTGAACCTAGTGATTCACTGACACCCTTCCGCACCTCAGCTGTAGATCACTCTCAGCCATAACTTTAGGGAAGGACTAGGGGAGGCCAATCAGGCTGTGTGACAGGGAGGGGCGGAGCCTGCACAGTACACGTGTGTGTGTCACACCTGGCTTTGCATGAACATTGAGTGTTCAGTTTAAATTGTGTTTCAGTTGTTTCAAGGGTTTGGGAGACTCTCCCCTGTTACAAATCCTCTAAGTCAAGAACTCTGGGCATGGACACCTCTCAGTGCTGAAAGCCTGGGGTCCCTATTTTTCTTTGTTTCTCCACTCTCCGTGCTCCCCCAACCCCCCTGAACTTCATGAAGAATAAATCCGCCGCTCACACACCAGCCGCTTAATTAATGTCTGGAACTAATGCTCCAATTTGCTCAACAATTCTGCTGCTCACCTCGGTGACAAATTTGTGTTGTTGTTCGTTGGAAGCTTAAAATAGCAGGCGTGCCCAAGGGTCCAACTCAGATGGTTTCTTGTATGGTTTCCCAGGGTGCGTGAGTCTTTTGCCCACTGCCTACCTGAGGGGGCCCCAGGGAAGTCAAGGCCTTCGAGAGTTGGGGGATCTTTTCTACAGCTTCCCAGCGAGTCTGGAACCCAGGAGACCCTCCTCTGAATGTGTGTGTGTGTGTCTGGTTGGCTGGAGCTCTGTGGCCTAGATGGAGGCAGTGGCAGAGCAAGGGATGGGGTGAGGGCTCATGCTTGGTGCCTCTCGCCCTGCCCTACCCCTGCAGACCCGCAGCTCGCGCCATACTCAGGGAACCCAGCCAGGACTGGCAGACCAGGCAGCCAAGCTGTCCTACGCCTCGGCTGAGTCGCTGGAGACCATGTCCGAGGCGGAGCTGCCCCTGGGCTTCAGCAGGATGAACCGCTTCCGACAGAGCTTGCCTCTCTCCCGCTCTGCCAGCCAGACCAAGCTGCGCTCACCAGGTACTGCCCAGCCAGCTCGTCTTCGGGTCCTGCCACAGCTCCTCCCTCCAGCTTCTCCCGCCCCACGCTACTCCATATCCTGCCACTCCCTCCTCTAGCAGCGGCCACCTCCTCGAAATCCTTGCTGTCCTCGGCGCTCTTTCTCCTCTGCTAGACCTTAGCAAACCCTGCTGGCCCTTCCGCTCTTTCAGCCTCTTCTCTGTCCAACCCTTTTCTCTTTCTACTAGGCTTTTCCCATTTTCTTCTCCCGGCGTTCTCGCCGGCCTCTCCAACTTTCCTTCCATTTCTGCCCCATCAGCTCCAGTCCCCAACCCCATTACCCCGTCCACACTCCAGCTGCCTGGGGTTCGGTGGGTGCTTGGAGAGGCGGGTCGCAAATCGGCAGCATGAGGAGCGCGTGGGTGCACTTGCACTCGGGGCCAGCCTCTGGCCTCAGACCTTGCCGCTGTGGGACTGATGCCGCTCCCGAGGCCTCACCGCACTCCTCTGGCGCGAGGCGGACTGATAGAGGTAGTGACCGTGTGGGCTGCGTCTCCTTCGCAGGGGTTCTGTTCCTGCAGTTCGGGGAGGAGACGCGACGCGTACACATCACACATGAGGTCAGCAGCCTGGACACGCTGCACGCACTCATCGCGCACATGTTCCCGCAGAAGCTCACCATGGGCATGCTTAAGTCGCCCAACACCGCCATCCTCATCAAAGACGAAGCGCGGAACATCTTCTACGAGCTGGAGGACGTCCGGTGGGCGTGGCCCCAGGGGTTGGGTAGACTCCCCCACGCTTCTCTGCAGAGTACTGGAGGGCCCTCCCTAGATCTTTATGCAGGCTGCCTTCACCCTTTGCCTCCCCTCCCGAAGCCCTAGCGCCCCGCCCTCTCTGCTAAATCATCCAGTCCTGTGGGTTCCCACTATCAGGAAGTTATGAAAGACCACCTCCTTCTCTCCCTCCGTGTGTGTGTGTGTGTTGCACACTTGTGCTTGCTTGCTGGTGGCAGGCGTCCCAAGACACCAGGAGTCACTGAAAATAGAGGGTAGGAAAGGGGGAAAGGATTTGGTGTCAGGGCCATCTTGTGTTGAAGTAGCTGTTGCCCCCTGTCCTCATTGTGCGCCGCTAGGGGGAGCACATGGTGACCCTCTGCCCCTCTCTACGTGACAGGGATATTCAGGACCGCAGTATTATCAAGATCTATAGGAAGGAGCCACTTTATGCTGCTTTTCCTGGCTCACACCTCACCAACGGGGACCTCCGGGTATGTCTGAGAGTCCCCAGGGCACTGGTGAGATTGGGCAGGTGGTCTGGGCACAACTAGGACGGCTTTGGAGTTGGGAACTTAGTCCTCATTAGTTGTGAGGTTATGGAGGCGCCACCTCTCACCGGCTACCTTCCCCCCTGTCTACCAAGAGTTCTCTAAAGGGCTTTAGACACTGTAAGGCCTCTCTCCCAGCCACTCCCTTTTCTCTTCTCCTTCCCGGTCCCCACCAAGCGTAGGCCTTTCTGATGTCTTTCCATCTGCCTGTTTACCCCCATGCTGGGAGTACTGATGGGCAAGGGGCCCAGGATAAAGTAGGAGATGGGGTGAGGGAGGGGAACTTCCTAAACCTGGTTGGGGAGGGGGTGAGTTGCTGACTCAAACAAGGGGAAAGAAGTCCCCTTTGTGACCAGCTCCATGAGCTTTGGGGGCTGTTTTCTGCGCAGAGAGAGATGGTGTATGCGTCACGGGAATCGTCGCCCACGCGGCGCCTCAACAACCTGTCGCCCGCATCACACCTAGCATCTAGCTCACCACCTCCAGGGCTTCCATCGGGGCTGCCGTCGGGGCTGCCGTCGGGGCTGCCGTCGGGACTGCCGTCGGGCTCGCCCTCGCGCTCACGCCTCTCCTACGCTGGGGGCCGCCCGCCCTCTTACGCTGGCAGTCCCGTGCACCACGCGGCTGAGCGGCTGGGAGGCGCCCCGTCCAGCCAGGGCGTGAGTCCCAGCCCCAGCGCCATACTGGAGCGGCGCGACGTGAAGCCGGACGAGGACCTGGCGAGCAAGGCGGGCGGCATGGTGCTGGTGAAGGGCGAGGGCCTCTACGCCGATCCCTACGGGCTTCTGCACGAGGGCCGCCTGAGCTTGGCCGCCGCTGCGGGTGACCCGTTCGCATACCCAGGCGCAGGCGGCCTGTACAAGCGGGGCTCAGTGCGCTCACTCAGCACCTACTCGGCCGCCGCTCTGCAGTCCGACCTGGAGGACTCGCTGTACAAGGCAGGCGCCGGTGGCCCGCTCTACGGCGATGGTTACGGCTTCCGCCTGCCGCCTTCGTCCCCGCAGAAACTGGCCGACGTGTCGGCGCCCTCTGGGGGACCCCCGCCCCCGCACAGCCCCTACTCGGGGCCGCCCAGTCGTGGCTCGCCAGTGCGCCAGTCCTTCCGCAAAGACTCGGGCTCCTCGTCGGTCTTTGCAGAGAGTCCCGGAGGCAAGGCCCGCAGCACCGGGAGCGCCTCGACGGCCGGAGCACCACCTTCTGAGCTCTTCCCTGGACCTGGGGAGCGCTCCCTAGTAGGGTTCGGGCCGCCAGTGCCAGCCAAGGACACAGAGACCAGGTGAGGGGACATAGAAGAAGGAAACACTGAAAGTGGCAGGTTCTCTCTGCACCTAGGTCACAGGGGGTGGCCGGAGTGCCTTCGATGTGACAGGGAGGACACTGGATGGATGAGTGATGAGTGTAGAGACCCGAGTTTGTGTCTATTCCCCAAGCCTCGGTTTACCCGGAGGGAAAATGGAGTGCTGACTCAGCCCGTTTAGTGCCCTGACTGTGAGAACTGTCCAGCACGGGGCTCAGCTGAAATCCACTGGAGCAGGCTCGGGATCGGGGGAGTTGGGCTTTTTGTGTTTATGCTTTGTGTTCTTGAAACAGGGTCTTGCTATGTAGCCCAGGCTACTCAAACTCTCAGCAATGCTCCTGCATCAGAGTGCCCTGTGGGGGCAGTGGCGAGAGAGGCGGCGGAGAGCTGGGAGTCTGATCCTTAGCTTTGTGTCCCGGGTCTGTGTGACAGCCAACGGAAGACTAGCTGTCTGTCTGTCTGTCTTCTGGCTGCTAGTCTTAGGAGTGGGCAGTGGGGTGGGTAGGGGGGACCACAAGCTCACAAGAGCGCCTGCTCAGAGCCACCCTCCTCCCCAGGGAGCGCATGGAGGCCATGGAGAAGCAGATTGCCAGCCTCACCGGGCTGGTGCAGAGTGCCCTACTTCGAGGTTCAGAGCCTGAGACCCCGAGGTGAGAACCCCCCTCCCAACACTGCTATCAGGGCTTGGTCTTGGGGCAGCGATGAGGACAGTGAGTTAAATTGGAAGTTCTGCACTCGGTTCTGCCTGTGTCTACTTTTCTGTGACTCTGTCCTGAGACCAGGGAGCTGGGGTGACATTTAAAGGTCCCATTCAGCTTTGATGGTCTGAGGCCAGCCCAAGCTCCTATGACCATTCTCTTCCCACCACAGTGAGAAGATTGAAGGCTCCAATGGAGCAGCCACCCCCTCAGCACGTGAGTGACCCTTCTCTTCCTCTCTGAGTCTTAGGATTCGTTTTCTAATCCTTAAACCGGACTAGTAGCTCTACTAGTAGCGGCATCACGGGGCTTTCCATAGATAAACGAGTAGTCATCTTACAGAGCCCAGGCACTTTTCTCCTGCTAGGACTTGCCGCCACTTAGCGTAGACAGCCGTGCCTCTCTGGCTGGGTGTGGGACCACGAGTGGGGAGGATGGCTCCTTCCCTCCCTCACTTTTTGTTCTGCTTTCCTTATGGCTCCTCCTTCTGGTCCCTCCCAGCAGCCTGTGGATCAGGTAGTCGGAGCAGCGGGGCTACTCCAGTGTCAGGCCTTCCCCCACCGTCGGCCAGCAGCACCCCTGCAGGACAGCCCACTGCCGTCAGCCGCCTGCAGATGCAGCTGCACTTGCGTGGTCTACAGAACAGCGCTAGCGACCTTCGAGGCCAGCTTCAGCAATTGCGAAAGCTCCAGGTACACACACACTCACTCACTCACACACACACACACACACACACACACACACACACACACACACACACCAATGGCTGTTACTTCTCTCTCGAAGCTCTGCGCCACCTTTCCCCACCTGGTGAAGGCCCTTATTGCTCAGTGGTCTTTCTTCCGACCCTCTCTCGTTTCCACTTCCTCATTAAGCACCGGTCCTCTTGCTAAGCCCCAACCCTTCACTGATCCCCAGTCAGTCCCCTTCTCCCTCCCTGAGCCTTAGTCTCCCGCTCCCCCACGCACTATCCCCGGAGGCTGTCCCAGTTCCTTCAGGCCCTGCCTCATATTCTCCCCCTTCCTGAGCCTGGAGTGGCTGTCTTGCCCTGCTGGCAGATGGTCCCACCTGTCAGGAGCCTGGCATCACTGTGTCGGCTCCTCAAGAGGGGCTCAGGGCTTGTCAGGTGAGGATAATGAGCAGAGACAGGCGGGGGCGGGGCAGGCAGAGAGCTGCCATCTGGGGCACGGGTAAGATCTCGCCCACCCACATCATTTGGGCTCTGAACTGGACCTTCATCTTGTAGTCCCAGCCACAGTTGGAGACCTACCAACCACAGAGTTTGAGTCCTTCACCTCAGGCCCAGTCTGCACTCAGGGCTACTTGAGACCATAGCCACAGAGTCACACTGTCGTCAGAGTCCTACCTAGTGTTACCCCTTGGCCACACAAACTCTCATCCCGTTCTCCTGCCTCTATACTCCTCCAGAATGTCAATCCTGATCTCTGCTCCCAGCCGTCCCACCCTTCGCTGCGGCTCACGGCTGCAGCCAAAGCCATGCATGCCGCTGTAACTTGAGCGAAACCCATAATAACTTTGCTCTCCGTCTGGATCTCTGCACTCGGCTCACCCTTTCCCATCATCATGATGTATCCTCCTCCCACCCGGTCCACGCGTGCATCCTTGCCCACGCGGACAACCTTGCGTCCCGCAGCTCCAGAACCAAGAGTCGGTACGCGCGTTGCTGAAGCGCACCGAGGCGGAACTGAGCATGCGCGTGTCGGAGGCGGCGCGGCGGCAGGAGGACCCGCTGCAGCGGCAGCGCACCCTGGTGGAGGAGGAGCGGTTGCGTTATCTCAACGATGAGGAGCTCATTACTCAGCAGCTCAAGTGAGGCTGGGCCCCTGCGCGCAGAGCGGACGGGGAGGCGGCAGCCAGGGTGAACTAGCCTGATTTGCATGGGAGTCACAGTTCCTTTACTTCGGAATCATAGATGACGTTGCTCTGTTCTGAAGTCTGATTTCACATTCCACCGTGGCCTGATTTCTCCATGACCCACAAACCTTTGGCCATCTGGCATAATTCCTGATTTCTCTCTCTCTTTTTTTTTTTCTGGCTTGATGCCTGCGTCTGCCATGTTATTACATCCTGCGCCCTGCACCCTACTTTCATGAAGCCGGCGGTCTGTTTTCCCTCTATCCTCTGCTTTCCTTTTGACTTAAGACTTATGCAGCTTCACCCTTGGATCCAGCAAGAAGGTGGAGTGTCAGGGGTGTTGTCACCTGCCCAGCTGGTTGCTGATCCTTTGTCACCCTGATCCCTGAGACCAAGAGTCAAGGAAACCCTCTCCCTTCTCAGCATAGTGAAGCTAGGCTCTAGAAGTCTTGCAAGAGGAGGAACAGAGAATAACCCACTTAGTGCTTAGACACAGAAGGGTTAACAAGACAGCCTGATCCACATTTAGCAGATGGCTGTCTGACCACAATTCCATTGTCTGGCACCTGTGAAGAGATGTGCTGCTGTTTTTCCTGTGTCCATTCAGGAAGCAGCTCCGCCATCCACTGCAGCTTTTTCTCCTGAGTTACTTGGGCTGAGGCAAAGGCCCCACCCCTTCATGTGGTCCCTACATGACACAGGGCAGCAGGGGATCCAGAGACAACTCCAGAATCAAGGGACCATGTGGTCAGGACAGCTGCTACCATCTCTGCTTCAGTGTCCTCATCAGTACTAATTTTTTTTCCACACAGGGTTTCTCTGTGTAGCCCTGGCTGTCCTGGAACTAGCTCTTGTAGACCAGGCTGGTCTCCAACTCACAGAGATCCGCCTGCCTCTGCCTCCCGAGTGCTGGGATTAAAGACGTGCGCCACCAATGCCCAGCTCAGCCTAAGATTTTTTTTGCAGTTTTTTCTGAAGCAGTTGAGGGCTTGTTTCATACTAAGGGGCTTGAGACCAGGGAGCCAAGAGAGCTGCTGGACAGTGCTACCCTACATAGTCATATTTGGAGCCCTCACCAGGGCCTCCATGAAGAGACAACAGTTCTGCCTGGGGGCCCGTGCAAACCTGGTAATGTATTTTTGACAGTGTTTAAGGCAAGGAATCCTATAGTCCTGTGACACCACGCAGCTGAGATGTAGTAAGGGGTCATCTCACATCAAAATAAGCCAGCAGCAGCAACCCCAACCTTCCATTATGTCCAGGTGGGGTGACAGTGATGGCCCAGCCAGATCTCTAAGACACCAGCTGCTTCCAGGGATTCTGTTCCCCCAATTCCCTGTCCCTTCCTTGTCTCTTTCCATTCTGCATAGAGGAGCTGGGCCAGGATTTTCAAAAGAAGTTAGACTGAGACATTAAAGGGAAATTAAGAGAACCATCAAAGAACCCAGGCAAAAGAGATAAAAGGACTGATTTACGCTCTGATCTTCATGAGTGTCTGGTCCCTGCCTTCCTGGGGACCTCAATTCTCTAGGAGCACTGAGAATCCCCATCCTCTATGCCTTGTCACACCCATTACTCAGACTGCTCACTGAGAACCCAGGAGCTGCAGGTGGGATTTCCCAGCCTTGTGCTTGCCTCTTTTGAGAGAGAAAGGCACCGGACCCTGTGATGGCTCTGGTCTGGCCTTCAAGACCATCCCCTGCCTCTGCCCTAGCCACCCACAATAGCCCTGCGGCCCCTACATGCTCGCCGGCTCTGTCTATCTGTCTCTCTCTTTCGCTCTCCCCGCTCTCTCATGTTCTCTCTCTCTCATGTCCATTTTCCTTTGTTCCTTCCTCTTTTCTGGCATCCCGCAGGCACCTGAAGCTGGAATTTGGTTTCATTCCTGCTGGGCTCACTCACCTGTCTGTCTAGCCAGAGGCTTGGGCTTTCTCTGGATATTGTCCCCACTGACTGAAGCCTGTTGACTCCCGAGTCTGTCTGCTGACCCATCGCTAGCTGTGAGAAAGGGCTGGTTTTTCCCATGTGGTAGAGTGAGGGCTGGGAGGGACAGCAGGTAGGTGACATCATTCAGTTTGGAAGTGAGACACATCAGAGCCAATGACTGAAGTCCCACACGAGTAGATACTGTTGTGCCACAGAATAGCTGTATGACCTTGAATTAGTTCAGAACCTCTGCCATCCTCCTTAGTTGGGGTTTCTTATTTATTTAAGGCAGCTGCTACAAGAAGAAGCTCCCAAATCATTTAATGGTTTTAAAATAAAAGGTATTAAGCTGTGTGTGGCAGTGTAAGCCTGTAGTCCTAGAACTCAGGAGGTAGAGGCAAAAGCATCATGAGTTCTAGGTCATCCTCAGCTACATATCCTCAACCAGCCTGGGATATATTGAGATCCTATCTGAAACACTTAACTAAAGGGGGTAGAGAGATGACTCAGGGCTTAAGAACACTTACTGCTCTTGTAGTTAAAAAAAAAAAAAAAGACCCAGATTCAGTTCCCAGCACCCACGTGGTGGCTCACAACCAAATGTAACTCCAGTTCCAGAGGCTCTGATATATGCTTCTGGCCTCCGTGGGCACCAGGCCTGCACACCATACACATACACACAAACAAAATACTTACACACCTAAAGCCCAATAAATACAACTTTCTAAAAAAATGACAGATCTTTCTTTCTTAGAAAACACTAGATGGGTTAGCAAGTTTCTCTCCCATATGCAGTCAGTCAGGGATCCAGGCCGGAGGAGTTTCTGCCATGTTTAGCACGTGCCTTCCAAAATCACGCAGACAATCATGGTCTTTATAACCAATCAGAAAGGGAAAGGGGGTAGCAGGAGCTTGTGTAGGAGGTCTTTATGGACTAGATTTGGGAACAGCATGCACCCTCCCCACCCGTTTCACTGGATGGGCATAGCTGAACATCCACTTCTAAGCACAAGGAAAGCTGGGAAATGCAGTTTAGTTGTTGAAGCACTATTTGCCCATGTGCTAGATGAGAGTAACGCTCCTCCCTCCAGGACCTGTTTTAAGGTTAAAATGAGGAAATGAATGCACAGGACTCATGTGGCATCCGATGAGCAGGAAGTGGCTAGTGCAAAGCAGCTCTTTAACCAGCGGCGCTGAAGCTCGGGGTTTTGCCTTGGGGTCTGCCTGGCTTGTCTTGTCTTTTCACCTGCTGTTTGGATGTCCAAGGCATGCTGATGAGCTAGGCTGATGACACCAAATGGGTGTGTGTGAGAGAGACAGAGAGAGAGAGAGAGAGAGAGAGAGAGAGAGAGAGAGAGAGAGAGAGAGCAGACACATCACGTGGTAGAACAGATTCAAGTCACTTATACCTGCGTGGTTGAGTTGCAGTCCAACTGGTGGGACTTGACTTGAGTGTATGTGAAGTCCTGCATGTGGGTGAGGGATGCCACTGACCCAGGTCCAGGATGAGATGACGTACCTCCCTGTAGCAATTCTTTCTCTCGCTTCCTCATCCTACAATTAAAAAAATTAATTTTTAAAAAATTATTTTTAAAAAATTACGTATAATATCCGTGTCTGTGCAGGCAGGTGTGGGGAGTATATGCATGTGTGTCCTGGTTCCCACCAAGGCCAGAGAGTCAGATCTCACCGAGATGTGGGTGCTGAGAATCCAACTCAGGTCCTCCGCAAGACACAGAGCCGTCTCTCCAGCCCCAAATCCACAGTCATTGACCTTGTAGCTTCTCTGAACCAGGCACCGAGCTGGGTGCTGGGAACAGAGGTGAAACTGGGAGACATGGTTTTTGCCTGTTTTGGGTTAGTAGCACGGAGAGTTAACAACTCAGTGAAAGGGGGCCTAAGGGAGTTTGGGAGGCAGGCGAAGACTCCCAAACCTGAGTGGGGAGGCAGGGCAGAGCTTCTTTTTGAGACGTGAGATGAAATGCGCATGGAAATTAGTGAGCATGTACAGGCAAATGGAATACACCAGGCTGAGAGTATGGTGTTTTTTTTGTTTTGTTTTGTTTTTTTTTACGAGACAGGGTTTCTCTGTATTGTTTTGGAGGCTGTCGGTCCAGCCCGGCCTCGAACTCACAGAGATCCACCTGTCTCTGCCTCCCGAGTGCTGGGATTAAAGGGGTGAGCCACCACCGCCCGGCTAGTATGGTATTCTTAAAGGGCCAGAGAGGGCAGTGTCTATAAGGGCTTGGGAGAAATTCTGAATGGTCTAAGCAGAAGCAAGCAGGGAAGGCGGCGATGCAGAGGGAAGGGAGCAGGAGCAATCTCCAGGGACCATCGCTCACGAGACTCCTAGCACACCCACTTCTTTTCTTAAATATGTTTTTAAGTTGGGTGTGCTTGGATGAGTCTACATAGTGAGTTCCACCTGGAACTTAGAACTTTTGCTATCCTGTCAATGAAATTACGTTTATTTATCATTTACTGGGTGTGTATGTGTGAGTGCCACAGTGCGAATGTCCATTCAGTTTGATTGTTCTACCATGTGGGTCCTGGGGATAGAAGCCAGGTCTTTAGGCTCGGCCGCAAGTGTGCTTCCTTGCTGAGCCAGCTCACCAGCCCCAGCATGCTCATCGTCTGAGTGAGAAGACTGAGCTGGAGAGCCCAGGGACATGAGGTGATTGCACAAGAGCAGAGAAGGGACAAGATTCAGATCTTGCTGACTGTAGAGCTAAGTTTGGGATTTAGCCTCAAGATGATGGTTCTACTTAGGATTTCATTTTTAGTCATCTAATACATATATATGTATATGTATATTGTGTGTGTGCTTGTGTGGTTACACAAGTGGCTGTGAGTGCACACGTGTCTGTGGTTGCACATGTGGATGTGAGAGGTTACTGTCAGGTGTCTTCTCTATCACTCCACTTTTTGAAAAGATCTATGCAGGTTATTTTATGTGTATGCTTGCTTCCATGTATCTGTGTGCACCGTGTGTATGTGCCTGGTGCCCAGGGAGGTCAGAAGGTCCTTGAAACTGGAGTTAGGATTCTGAACCACAATGTAGGTGTAGAGAACTGAGCCCAGGTCTTCTGCAAAAGCAACAAGTGCTCACTAGCTGCTAAAATATATCTCCCACTTCTGTACCTTAATTTTGGAAGTAGGGTCTCTCACTGACCCTGGAACCAGTCAGTGAGTTCCCAGGATTAGTCTGTCTCTGCCCCCTCCTCACCCAACGCTGGGTTAAAGTTACTCACCCTTGTGCTCATCTCTTAGAAGGGTGTTGGGGATCTGAACTCAGGTTCTCAACTTGCACAGCAAGCACCTTACCCACTGAACTGTCTCCTCAGCCCCCCACCCACCCACGCATTAAGAGCATAACACAAAGGGTGACACCTTTGTTTGCTTTTGCTGGGTTTTTGGTTTGTTTGATTTGAGGCCTTAAACTTGTGATCCTGTTCCCCAGTCTGTTCCCTCCCAATTGCTGCGATTACATGTATGTGCCGCTACGCTTGGCTCCCAATTTACTTTTTAGGAAGATGCGGGATCATAAATGTTTACAATGAACCAGCTGAAAACCTGAGGTGGTTTTGTCGTTTGACAAAAGGTGATGGGCATGACTGCTCTCAGACATGGACAGCTGCCTCTAGGCTCTGTAAGGTTCTGTGTGGCTGCCATGTTCTCTATGCTTCTGTGGAAGAGTTAGTCTGGGGTTTCACAGTATAGGGTGGCAGGTGAGTGCTGATGTTACTGTAGATTAGGGCTTGTGGGGAGGCCTGGAGACCTCTTAAGGAACTATGTGAAAGTGTCATCTTTTAGATCTAGCATTTCCAATTTTACTTGGGCATGCAGCCTGGTGGATAGCTAGCTTTTGATTTTGTGATTTTTTTTAATGTTTTGTTTGAGTCAGGGTCTTACTATGTAGCTCAGGATAGTCTCAAACTTTCAGCAACCCTCCTGCCTCAGCCTCCCAAGTGCTAGGATTACAGGAGTAAGCCATTACACCCGGCTGTAGCTTTTAATTTTGATCTGATTGGTGGCATAATTTCTTTCCAGCTGCTCATTTCAGGGGGCTAGGCTGGGGCCAGAGGGGCTGAGAAGGGTCTCTCTGTGCCTGCAGTGACCTGGAGAAGTCCGTGGAGAAGATCCAGAGGGATGTGGCCCATAACCACCGGCTGGTGCCTGGTCCTGAGTTGGAAGAGAAGGCTCTGGTGCTGAAGCAGCTTGGGGAGACGCTAACGGAGCTCAAGGGTGAGTCTGCCCTGGTACAGGTGATCCTGAAGGGGTCCCTGCTGTGCTCCCCTGCAGTGTGCCCACTCCTGGGTGCTCCTGGTGCTCCTTCCCAGCCAGCTTACTCTTCCCGGCCTCTCAGCTCATTTCCCAGGCCTGCAGAGTAAGATGCGGGTGGTTCTGCGTGTTGAGGTGGAGGCCGTGAAGTTCCTGAAGGAGGAGCCTCAGCGCCTCGATGGACTTCTCAAGCGCTGCCGGGGAGTCACTGACACGCTGGCCCAGATCCGCAGGTCATTCTCTCCTTTGTCTCTAATTTCCCATGGGATTACACACTGGGCCCAGACCCATAGGAACACCTGACCCTTTATCCTGGTTCCTCAGAGGTGAGCCAGCAACATCTCTTCTTCTATTCTGACCTGTGACCCCTACATGCAAATGCCTTGGCATTCTGTCACATGCCTTCTTAGGCTCTCCCATCTCTTCTGCAAGATCCCAGAGCCTTCCTCAGATCTGCAGCACACACACACACACACACACACACACACACACACACACCCGCCTGCAGGGGTTACCACCTCTCACTAGCTGCTCCTAACTCTCCCAACCATAGGCAAGTGGATGAGGGTGTGTGGCCACCCCCCAACAATCTCCTGAGCCAGTCTCCCAAGAAGGTGGCAGCTGAAACAGACTTCAGCAAGGGCTTGGACTTTGAAATACCACCCCCCAGTCCTCCACTGAATCTCCATGAGCTGAGTGGGCCTGCCGAAGGAGCCCCTCTGACCCCAAAGAGCAGCAACCCCACCAAAGGCCTGGATGCTCCCGGCAAGAGAAGCATGGACAAAGCTGTGTCTGTTGAGGTGATGGGCCAGGGCGGGGCACGAGCTAGGCTCAGGCTTGCTGTCACCTGGAATGACAGGTACCGAAGGAGCATGTGGGCCCTTTAGGAGGAGGATCAGAAGAGCATAATATTGGTGACATTTACCCTTCTCTATAGAACGTATACTATAAAGTCAGAAATATGGTGTTGGTGTAAACATAAGCTGGCTGGTCAATGAAACAGAGTAGAACATCCAGAAAGAAACCTAATGATGTTGTATTTAATGAAAGTCATCTGTCTAGGCTACAGGGATGGAGTGTAACGCCCAGTAGGAGGGGTTAATCCTCCATGAAGTTCTCTTCTTGTTCTTAGCACATTTGGCAGGGGAAGGGGCTGATTGCCAAAGCCCAGGGGGTCCTGAGCAGGACTCCTGACACCATCTCTGCTTCCTCTCTCTAGGCTGCGGAGAGAGACTGGGAAGAGAAACGGGCAGCCCTGACCCAGTACAGCGCTAAGGACATCAACCGACTGCTGGAGGAGACACAGGCAGAGCTGCTCAAGGCCATCCCTGACCTGGACTGTGCCAGCAAGGCCCACCCAGGACCCACCCCCACCCCAGACCACAAGCCCCCCAAGGCACCCCATGGTCAGAAGGCAGCCCCCCGGACAGAGCCCAGTGGGAGAAGAGGTTCAGGTATGGGGATTTAAGGCTCCATCCTCAGAGCTTAGCTCGTAGGGGAAGCATAGGGAGTGAGCATCATGGTAGCCAGGCTGTCAGAGAAATGGGGTGTTAGCCATTAGCAGTCACCAGAGGAACAGGGTAAGCTGGAGTTCATCCAGTTTTCTCCTCGCTATTTCTGGAAGGCTGATGCAGGAGGTACATCCAAGCAGAGTGATCCTTGCTTACTCAGAGAGAGAGAGAGACAGACAGACAGACAGACAGACAGACAGACAGACAGACAGACAGACAGACAAAGAGATAGTCTGACATCCTAAGCTTGCGAAGCTTGCAGGATGGCGGGAGGCAGCATCTGAAGGAGAGGTGTGGTCATCATTGGCTCGTGTATTCCTTCCAGAAACCCTGACTGTGAATGGGGCTTCAGAGAGCTCAGAATTTATCTTTATATTTTTGTGTGTATAGATGTTTTGCCTGTGTGTGTGTATGTGTGTATCACGTACATGCCTGGTGCCTGAGGCCCGAGAGTGTTGAATCTCCTAGAACTGGAGTTACAGGTGGCTACGCGCTGCCACGTGGTGCTAGGAGTCAAGCCTGGGTCTGGGAGAGCAGCCAGTGCTCCCAGCCAGTGCTCCCAGCCAGTGCTCCCAGCCAGTGCTCCCAGCCAGTGCTCCCAGCCAGTGCTCCCAGCCAGTGCTCCTAATTACTGAGCGGTCTGTCCAGCCCCAGAGCCTTTTTATTTAAAAGATTTTTAACTAGCCTGGCGCTGGTGGTGCACACCTTTAATCCCAGCACTCGGGAAGCAGAGACAGGCGGACCTCTATGAGTTTGAGGCAAGCCTGGTCTACAGAGTGAGTTCCAGGACAACCTCCAAAGCAATACAGAGAAACCCTATCTTGGAAAAAAATTTTTAATTAACTTATTATTTGTGTGTGTGTGTAAATGCATACATGTCAGGGGACCACTTGTGGGAATTAATTTTCTCCTTCTAATGCGGGATCATATTTAGGTCATCAGGTTTATATGACAGGCACCTTTAGCCTCTGAGTCATCTCTACAGGCTGTGCTTAGGATTTAATGGTGGGACAAATTGTGACGTTTGTCGGGCACTTACTACACGATGCTTTCTGATTTTGCAGCAGTTGAAGAAGGCAGACACAGTAATTCCCTCCTTACAAAGAGGAGAGTCTCCAAATGTAATGTTATGTAATCTGTCCCAGGCCACATTTAATGAGTCCCTAGAACAAAGGGGCTAAGTGTGGCTCCTGACCTGTGCTGGAGTATACAGTCTTAGGAGGGAGGACGTGCTCTCCAATGGAGACCTAGGCCAGCAGGCACTCGCCAGCCAATGCGCGCACCTGGGGGGGGGCAGAGCCGCAAGTGCCACTTGGCTGCAACAGGGTCCGAGCTGGGCCTCGGTGCACAGCAAGGCTGAGAGGTTGTGGAAGGTGCTGGACTGGGAACCTGGATTGTTCAGCTTGGTGGAAAGCCACAGGAGAATCAAAGGCAAGGGTGTTATGGTTTGAGTGACCTTTTAGTGGGTTGCCGTGGAAACCAGGCTGGAGGAAGGGGGATGGTGAGCCAGACCAGCCTCCTCAGAGAAAAGATGGAGCTCTGAATCTTGTGGGACTGAGGAACGGCTGTGGCCATGAGACAGATCAGAGGGCACAAATCCCGGGCTTGAATGTAACCACGAACCCCTGGGGACGTTAGGATGCCCATGCTGGGTCAGCAGCTCAGGGCCAAGGGCCTGGCAGGTGCTGCAGTGTTCCTGGCTCCCTGACAGCACCGAGTGCTGTTGGAGGCAGTGGGGCTGGGCGAGCCGGTGGCAGGCATGGGGAACTGGAAAGAGAGGGGTCCTGTCTGCCCCTCCCCTGAGCTGCCCTCTTGGTCATTCCTGGAGGAACGAGTACTTGCGGACACTGCTGTGGTGGGTCCCTGACCCCAGATCCCCACTGCTTGCAGATGAGCTCACAGTGCCCCGATACCGCACAGAGAAGCCCTCCAAGTCGCCCCCACCACCCCCTCCCCGCCGGAGTTTCCCTTCCTCCCACGGCCTGACCACCACTCGCACTGGAGAGGTGGTGGTCACCAGCAAGAAAGACTCGGCCTTCATCAAGGTACACCCCCAACTGGGGGCTCAGGGGTGCTTGAAGGGGGAGCTTGAGATGACCTCTGAGAGGTCAGCTGTCCCAGTTTGACTTCTAGCTTGGAATGTAGGGCTGGGTGTTGCTCTAATTCACAGCGGGTTCTGGCAGGGTTGGGGTGGGTCTTCCTGGCGGGGAGCTGGTGGAGCTAGGGGTGGAGCTGGAGGGAGGGAAGGACCTCAGCTTGATAAGACACCCGGGCTTTACAGAAGGCTGAGTCTGAGGAGCTGGAGGTCCAGAAGCCCCAGGTGAAGCTTCGCCGGGCTGTGTCTGAGGTGGCCCGCCCTGCCTCCACACCACCCATCATGGCCTCTGCCATCAAGGATGAAGACGACGAAGAGCGCATCATCGCTGAGCTGGAGGTGGGTCAGGCGTGACTGAACAAGGCCTCTGCCAGGCCAGGCTCCCTGCCAAGCCTTCCTCAGGGCTGGGCAGCCAGCCCCAGGCAGCTGGAAGAGTGCTAGCCCAGGACCCATGCTTCTTAGCTTCCATTTCTTCTCCACTCTGAAATGGAAGGAGACAGTCTAAAGTTCCTCCTGGTAGGTTTGAGTTTTCAATATAATCTCTCAGCTCCCCCGACGAGCCAAAAACCCACTGTACTCTGAAAGCCCCAGGCCTGCATATTCTGAGCTTACTGAGACCATACCCTCATGCTCCAAACCCTCAGGCCTCAGTATTCTGGGACCAGAATCTTGGAGCCCCTCATGCCAAAGGGCCTAGCTTATAGGGTTCCCAGAAACCTTTGTCCCAACGCCAGAGTCCCTGAATATCAGTGCCCAGTGGGTCAATGACCATGGTGAGGTGCCGAGGGGTGACGCTGGGGCTCATGCCATCCTGGGCCACTCCCCATAGGTGTCTGGGTACTCAGCCAGTACCTGGGACCTCACCAGAGCCCCGTTCTCCAAACCTGCCCCTGCCTTCTGCTCCCCAGGTGTTTGAAAGAAGCTCAGTATCTTCCCTTCCCCCTACGCCCCACCGCCAGCCGCTGTCCCCCCAGGACCTGGGGTCCCCTGGGGGCTCAGCTCTGGGCCCCCCATGGAAGGTAACGGCCGCCCGGCCTCCCCGCACCTCTTACTGGCTCGCTCTCTGCTGTTCCTCCACAGCTTCCTTTGCGGCACCTTTCACGCTAACCCGCTAACACGCAATCCACGCCAGCCCCTCTGCCACTGCCCCAGCTTCATGCCCGTGGACTCACCCTCCTGCACAGCTGCACAACTTGTCCCTCCCTGAGGCTTCCCCGGGGGCCTTCCTTGGAGGCTGCAACCTGGGTGTCTGGTGTGACCCTTGAGTTCCCTTCCAGGCCTGATTCCATCTGGCTCTTGGATGGTTCTTGTTCCCATTTGTGGCCTGAGTTTAGGCGGGCTCCAAAGCCTGTGCATTGTCTTGGGCCAAGACTGGAATTTGGATGTTGTTCAAGAAATGACTTAGAGCCCAGCTCAGCCTGACCTTGTCCTGAGACCTCACCTGGTCTGGTCCCTGCCTTATGCCCTGCTCTGCTGCTCATGCCAGGGAAGGGGCTCTGCTTCTCCCACTGAAATCTGTGCCTCGCACTGGGGGAGGGGTCTAGACAGACAAAGAGGGATGGCTTCCCTCAGCCTCTCCCTGCCCTGTGGCCATTCTTGCGGCAGGGCAGGGAGCTTGGAATGAGAGAAGCCCTTGGCCTTCCTTGGCTGCTGGGTTTCCCTTTCAGTGTTGAAATTCTCTCTTCTGACTCTCCTGCTGCACTTACTTCCTCTTGGGAGTGTGGGGGCGGGACCGCTGTCTGCACTCCGGTGGACTGCACTTGAGGAGGGGGCTGGGGAAAGGCCTGGGGATCTCTCCCTCTGACAGCCAGGAACCAGGTTGGGGTAAGAGGACCTGGGTCCTCACTTCCCACATGCGCGTGCCCTCCCCTTCCTTGTGTGGCTTTTCCCAGCCCACAATGGGGTCCATGATGGCAGCCACTGGCATTGTGGCCTGGCTTGAGGCCTGGTGGCCTTGGTTTTCTGGCAGGGGTGCAGACAGGCATCAGAAGGTGGACAGTGCTGTCTGCAGTGCGCCCCAGCTCTTCTCAGGGCTGAGCAGTGTGAGGGAACACTTCCTGACTGGTTTTGTCCTCAGCACCCAGCTCTGCCTCTTTCTGGTTCTGGGGCTCAGTCATGAGGGGACCCAGCAGGCAAGCCCCTTCCCTGGCTGCCTCTCTGCATCCTGAGGCGCTGCCAGGCCGCGGAGCCTGGTGAGCAGGGGTCCCTCTCTGCCTTCCCTGTGTGTACCCTACTTCCAGGTAAGCAGTGGCAGGGCTGGGTGGCTTGCCCTGGGAGGTACAGGAGGGGTCTCCTCACAGCTTGTTTAGTGAAAGAGCGCTGGACTTGAACCCAGGCTATCTGGGTCCACATCCTGGCTCCACCACTAACGAGCTGAGGATTGGACTCCTGACTTGTGAAGTGGGGACCAGGAGAGTGATAGCCACTTCAGGGTTTGCAGATGGGATTGAAGATGAAGCAATAGTGGTCGCCATGGGCTGGTATTTAGAGTTAGGGCAGAATCCGCTCAGGTTCACAGGGTCCCTGAGGCCTCTGGGTCTATTCCAGAGCCATAGCCAAGAAGCTGACATAGAAACAGGCGCCTAACGGGAGCATTGCAGGTGTGTGAGACCAAGGAACTGATCATGGCCAAGCTCCTCCCCTTTATAGATAGCTGTGTTCACTGGGGAAGGCCTCACAGGTGTGAGTCCAGGACCCAAGATGAGGAAGATGGTCCCTTCCTTGAGGAAGATGGTCCCTTCCTTGAGGTAGAGGCCAGTGTCTAATCTCTGCTCATAACAGCAGAAGGCCTCAGCTGTTTGGTTCAGTTGACCCAGTAGCTTGTGCTTACTCAAATGATGCCAGGCACTCAATGGAGTGTCCTCATGCACTCATTTAATTCGCTGCCCACCCCATGTTACAGTCCCGTTGTGCATGGGATGAAGCCTGAGATTTACTCCCACGTGGGTGATGGGTAAGGAACACACCCCTGGGCTTCCGCCATGGGCCTTGATACCACAAAGATACAGTTACGCAGGATGGAAAGGCACCTGCCCTCTAGATTCAGCTTTGCCTCCAGTTTATTGGGTGACATCATCAAGACTGTCCCTGACTCAGTTTCCCCATCTGGGACAGGAATGGAGTGGGGTCATCTCAGCTCAGGATTCGGTCTGCAGGGATCACACTCCTCGTTTTCTGTCCCCCCAGGCTGCCTCAGGTCCCAGGGTCCTCTGTATCCCTCAGATCATCTTGACAGAGTGCACTTCCAGCTCTCCCTCCCTGCCAGAGGCCAGCTTAGAGGAACTGGGTCCCAGGACAGTCCCCAAACCAAGACCCCGGACCCTGGCTGGCAGCGGAAGGGTTTGGAATGGCCCAGGGGCTTTGCCGGGACGAGCTGCTGAGGTGCTCTGGCCTAGAAGCAGCTCGCTGTCCAGAAAGGAACTAGCAGAAGCCGGAGTTCTCTGTCCTTGGGGACCATCCCCAGATGAGACTCAGAGGCCTTTTACTGCTGAGACCCACTCAGAGGAGACCTCTCAAAACCCTGAATGTGACGCGCAAGCTTGCAGTAGAGGACAGCAGGCCATCAGCTCAGGCAGCATGGACAGCCTGGAGGAGATGATCCAGGAGCTAGAAGCCACCCTGAGCGAGATGGGAGCCAACACGACTATGAAGTGTCCAAGCAGCCCCCAGCCCCCACTCCCCAGCCCCCAGGTGGCTGCCTCCGCCTTCTCTGCTGCTGCCTTCCTGCTCTGGTCTTTGGGCCTTCAGAGTGGAGAGAGTGGGGCCCCGGGAGCTCTGCCCACCTCTCTCATCCCCACTGCCTTTGTTTCCGTCCACCACCCTCTGGGAGCCTGTTTCCAGGCCAGGGCCTATGGGCAGAGCCAGGGGCGGCCGGGAAGCCGGCCCACCCAGGACTCAGCTCTGCTGCTTGGGCATGGACCGGGTGGGCTCTGTCCCTGTCTGATCTCTGTAAGCCAGAGAATAAAACTTTCTCTTCTTCTCCACCCCCTTGCCCCCCTCCTGTCTCTGACTCTTTCTGTCACTGTCATTTCACTGCTTGCGCCTCTGGGTCCCCAGAGTCTCTCTGGGAAGGGCTGTTTCATGAGGGGGTAGCCAGGGGGCCAGATATGCCCATCTCTGGGGGGAAAATTTCACCGCTTGCCTTCCGTTCTGGGGCTAGTGTAGATCTGGGGATGCTCACTTATTAGAGACCCCCCAGTTCCAACTCTGTCTCCTGGACCAGGATGGTGTTGGTGTCCTTGGCTGACAGTTGAGTGGTATGGGGGCCTTCCCTGTAGAAGAGGCTTCCTAGGAGGGTACTAGCTGCCCCTGGGCCACTCACGAAAGTCACAAATGAGCTCTCATGCAGGACAGGGTCTAGTGATCATCTCCTGCAGGGAGTCCTTGAACCTGGCCTCAGAGGGACTTAAGTTTCAGGGATGCTTATGTGGAATCAGGGAGGGGTCTCCAGGCCTCCAAGGACCTCTCTGAGGAGGTCCTAACCCCGGAGACTCCACCCAGTGCTTAGAGTTGCACACAGAGCTGTCCCACCCCAGCACTGTCTCTCTCTCCACAGAGTGGTGGTGGCAGCGTGCCACCCATGAAGGTGGTGACTCCAGGAGCCTCTCGGCTGAAGGCGACCCAGGGCCCAGCAGGCAGCCCCGACAAAGGCAAACACAGCAAGCAAAGGGCGGAGTACATGAGGATCCAGGCCCAGCAGCAGGTGAGGGGTGGGTTACTGGACTCCCAGGCCCCTGGAGGGTCACACACCAAGCCTCCGCTGTGCTGTCCCCGCCACAGTTCCGATCATTGTGGGTCCCCCCTGTCATGATGCTCTCCATCTTGTTCCTCCTTGCAGCCCCGGGGCTTTGGATCTGGTTTAGATGTGAGTCTCTGAACTCACAGCCAGTTTCCTGCTCAGGGGCAGAGGAGCCTAGCTCCCTGCCTGTGCAGTGCCTGCCCTGTGCAGGTTCACTTCCTTCCTGTGGTTGGGTGGCTTCTAAAGCCAGCCCGCACCCTGGCTTCCGTCTCTCCTGCCCGCCTCTCTCCTGTACATGGCTCCATCTGCTCCGCATCTTTCACTCAGCTCAGGAAGAAGCTGCTCTGCCTGCTTTTCAGCTGCAGGCTGGGGGGCTCAGCTGACCTCTGTAAGGCAGATGAGGTGTGGCAGGGATCCTGCAGGTGCACCGAGCCCTCTGGACTTCATTTGTAGGTTTGGAGTTGACAGACCTTACACGATTTGTAGGTTTGGAGTTGACAGACCTTACACGCACGTAGTACCTTGTGGCCTTGGAGCCTGCACCGGGTGTGGTGCACCCGGTCAGAGAGTAGAGGAGGGCCCTGGGTGTAGCCGCTCAGTTCAGAACCTCTCCTGAGTAGCCCCTGTGTGCCAGGACTGTTTGAGGTCCCGGGTAGGCCTTACTCCGTCTGTCCAGATGGAGATCCTAAGCTCAGAGGTAGAAGGTTAAGGATGACCAAGGCTATGAGGTTCAGTTTATAGCAGCAAAGACGCTTTCCAGACATGCATAGCAAATGGCGTTAGAGCCAAGACTGACCTGGCCATCTTAAAACCCCTCCCACCACAAGGCCCGGAGAGCACACAAGGCCCGGAGAGCACACAAGACCTTGTCGACCTGCTGGCTCCTAGGAAGCAGCATTCAGTCCTCCACTCGCCTTCCTTGACCCACTTTCTCATGAGCCCTAGGCCTACCTAGTGAGACTTTTTCCCAATTCTCTTCCGACACCACCGGGGGTACCTTTTGTCTTGTCTGTGGTAGTGGGGTCCCCTCATTCATTCCCACAAAAACAGCTGGTGGCTATGGTTTTTTCTTATGCTGGGCATATAGTGTCTGCTTCACAGCAATCTGAGGTAGGGCCTTACCTCAGTTGGAGAGGTGAAGAAACGGAGCGTGGATACAGTCCACGCCATTTGACAGGCCTCGCCACGCACGCGCTTGCTCTGTGCAGTCAGTACCCTCCCTGCAGTTCCGCATCCCCACCCCCATCATGCTGTCTAGCTCCCCTGAAGCCCTGTGGGTCAGCTTTGTACATTCCGGGCCTCCCTACCTCTCCACAGGGTGTAGCAAGGTCTGCAAGGGCCATGCAGGCCCTCTCTCCCTACCTCTGGGCCCCAGGGCTATCTAGACATCCCCCATAGCTATGCCTCTGTAGATGCTGACTTCGCACCCTCCACCCCCAGCTCTCCCTTCAGCCCTGCCTCGTTCCCTTGTGAACCTCGAAAGCTTGTTTGAAGGTTTGACGGAGAGTGTATCTCCTTGTGTGCCCTTGGCCCAAGCATGGTCTTCTATGGAGGGAAATCTGCTGGAGAAGTTTGTCCTCCTGGACCAACCGTGCAGCCTCGGGAGGGACACATATGGAGCTGTGAAGAAGGAGGGGACACCCACCTAGCCAGACAGATCAACCAGGTCAATCCTGACAGTCAATGAGGTGGCAGATGTCCCCTCCAGATCACTGTCACATACCTGGCTCCTTTCTGTTCCTACTTGACCCTGCCTGCCTGGGCCCCTGTGGTGAGCTCCTAACCTCTGTCCCTTCTCTGTCAGTGCCTCCAGCCCCTCCATTGACAGCCTCTCACCTTCCAACCCGTGGCTTCTCCAGTTTTAACCCCTCAGAGCCACCCCTGTCTCCAAACCCCACAGCTGCTGGCCACCACTGGTCCTTTCCTGCCCCTCCCTTCCCAAGGCTGGGCCTCTTCCCACCCTGCTGCCCTGTTCCAGCCGTTCCTGTCGCTTGTGCTGTGCCAGGGTGTGTCCTGTTGCTTTCTGACAAAGCAATACATGTTTCTTAGGACGTGTTTTAAATAAAGGAAACAGCAAAGAAGCAGATGTGGGGAGGTTTGGCTCAGTGGAGGATTGCCTGCCTGCTGAGGGGTGGGGATCAGGTTTGATCCCCCAGTACTGTAGGAAAAACAAACAAACAAAGAGAAAACCAAACCAGGTGGTGTCACCACCTAAATTCATGGTCTTCTAAGGTCATTTGTGACTACTGTCGTCTCTTGTCAATTTTCTAAGGCCTGTGAGGACTTTCTAAAACATATATTTGATGCTAACGCACACACATAGCAGTTTGAAGTCTGTGCCCTCAAACCCCAGACTGAACCCTTCACTGCAGCTCGGTCCACACAGCTGATCCTGGGTTCCTCTGCTCCATTGAGCACATGCTCCGGCCACCAAGACCGGGTCTCACTCAGCTTCCCAGGCAGACTGTGACCTGTGAGTTCTGCGTCAGTGTCCTCAGTCTGTGGGATGACAGGCCGTGGCACTAAGCCTTACCTCAGAGCTCTCATGTTCATGAGATGGAGAGAATCGGAAGGGTGGGGACCAGGGATGCAGGCAGAGGAAGGAAATGCGTAGAGGGCTTGCATGGCAATGGGCGTGACGGAAGAGGCCTTACATGCTGTGCATAGGATCTTAGTGTAGCCTAGAAGCCAAGGACGCCTCATGTAGGCCAGTCACTCACTGTCTTTCGATGGCTCACATGAAGGAACCACCAGAGTGCTGAGGGAACAGATAGACCAGGGACTGATACCAGCTGGAGCTGTGAGCCCCCTAGGGGGCAAGAGTGGGGTTAACAGCACCTTCCTGTTGTCCCTGGGTAGCAGCCAGCAGGGTGTGCGGCTCCAGCTTGATCCCCTCATAGGGAACTCTGAGTCAGAGCCTGGAGGGACGCGTGTCCCGTCGTAGCCTGAGCTGAGGTGCAGTGTGGTCTAGCAGGAGAGAGGTGCTGGCATGGCCTCTGGGTCCAGAATTGTCCCGATTCTCCCAGAGGAGTGCTGAAGCTCTCTGAGACGTCTGTCTTGTCACAGAGGTGGGGAAGTTCTGCTTCTTTTAACAAAATCAAGACCCATGGGTGGAGGGAGGGCTTGAGAGATGACTCTGGTTAAGAGTAATCACCTCTGTCACCGAGGACCCAGGTTCAATTCCCAGCGCCCACATAGTGGCTCACAACCATCTGTAGCTCCAGTTGCAGCGGATCTGGTGCCCTCTTGTGTCCTCCATGGGCACCAGGCATGGATGTGGTGCACAAACATACATGCAGGTAAAACACATACACATAAAATAAAAATAATAAGTCTTAAAAGACAAAAAAAACTCACAGGAGATTGTTGGCAGGTGACATGGACATGACAGAAACCCTCAGAGACCAGGGAACTCAGAGAAGCGTGGTGTTGCCAAGCAGCTTTTGCTTTAGTGGATGCTGGATGGAGCTACAGCCAATGTATCCCCAGATGAAGGCTGGCTCTTAAGAACTTCACAAAATGTGCAAGTTAGGGGTGGTCACCATGGGGAGAGACCATCCCCATAAACATTTGAATGCAGCTAGATGTGGTGGCGCATGCTTTTAATCCCAGCAGAGGTGGGAGGAGCTCTGAGTTCAAGGCCAGCCTGGTCTACAGAGCCTCTACCTTCTGAGTTTTGGGTGTGTGTCACCACTTGCCAGCTTAATTTTTTTATTAATGTGCACGTGTGTGAGCCTGAGTAAGTGTGTACCTGTGCACCACGTGTGAGCAGGGACCTGTAGATGCCAGAAAGGGGCTTTCACACCCAAGGTAATTGGCAGAGAGCACTTGGGTGCCCGTTTTGAGTTTGTTCCCAGGCCCAGGTACTGGAGCCAGGAGGGCCGAGTCACACCTGATTCATGGCAATGGACAAAGAATGCTGAGGGGTAGTTCCCTGACTGAGGATGAGGGCCACAGTAGAGGACACATTACTGACTCCATGGCTTGCTTTGAGCTGGTGGGTCACTTGCACACAGGTAGAAGAGAACACAGTTACAGTGTGGCAGCCTCCTACTTTTCTGAAGGCTGCGGTGGGCAGGGTTTGCTCGAGATGACAGCACTCCACCCCAGGGCACTTGGGAGAGCCTTCCTAGCAGCTGGGTGGCCCCACAGGTCCTTAGGAAAGGACAGGCCCAGCGTTGATCTCACGGACCTCCGGCAGGCCACTAGAGGGCACCACATGACTCTCTCTGCTGTTTTTCTCTATAGTGTCCTTTGTTGTTGGTTTGGTTTGTTGAGCTGGTCTCACTATGTAGCCCAGACTGGGTTGGAATTTGCTATGTTCTCGCCTTAGCCTGTTTTGTTTTTTCGAGACAGGGTTTCTTTGTGTAGCCTTGACTGTCCTGGAACTAGTTCTGTAGACCATGGTGACCTCAGACTCACAGAGATCCACCTGCTTCTGCCTTTCAGTTACCACACTGGTAGCTAAACTCCAGGTGAGTCATTAGATTCAGTTACAGGGTCGAGCAGTCAAGTCTGTCACCCTCGCCCACTAGTGAGTGACACCTGCTTAAAATGTTAAAATGCACATTCCCACCCCAAAGTAGAGATGATTCTGGAAGTGGCCCCAGGAATCTGCATTTGATACATGCCATGGGTTGTCCTGTAGAGATGATTCTGGAAGTGGCCCCAGGAATCTGCATTTGATACATGCCACGGGTTGTCCTGTAGAGATGATTCTGGAAAGGGCCTCAGGAATCTGCATTTGATACATGCCACGGGTTGTCCTTTGGAGATGATGCAAGTGACTTGGAAGCAATGTTCTGAAGACCCTGACTCTAAAGGACAAGCCCGGGGGCAGGGGGATCGATGTCAGGCGAAATAGAAGTAAGCAGGGTGTATGTATGTGTGCAGCGTGTGTAGGGGCTTCCGACTGGGCGAGTTAGCCCGGGAGCACACCCTGGTCTCCGGCTGTGTTAGAAGCACGCAGAACTGGGGGACATGAGCGGGGAGGGCTACATGCTGGGCTGGGGGGCATGCTGGTGGAGGGTGCTTCCCGAGTTTCCGCTCACCCCTGCTTACACCAGGGGCCTTCTGGTGAGGACCTGAGGCGGGTCTGAGCTGGGCTGAGCTACTGACCCCCATCTGCCCGGCTACAGATGCACCCCTGCTGCTGCTAATATTTCACTTCTTTTCCTTCCCTTGCCCTCCCTCCCACCCCTTGTCCCCTTTGCCTGTCCTGGGCTGGGTCTCTCTGGCATCTCCTCTGTCTTCTGTCTTTCCTCTCAGTAACCATGGACTGAAACCACCCCCACTCTTGTTTCCAGGCCTCTGATCCAACCCCACGCTTCCCCCCACCCTTCTTTCTGCCCCCACCCCACACCACCCCACCCTGTCCCCAGTTCAGAAGGCAGTCTCTCCAGACATCCCCTCTGGTTTCTCGCCTTTGCAGTTAATTTTCTCTCGGACTCGTGGAATTTTTCCATTTTTCAACACTCCAGCCAGGAGCCAGCATGGAGGCCTCCCTTGCTCTCTCTGACCCCGACCCCTGTTTTTGTTCCAGGCCACTAAACCATCTAAAGAGATGAGCGGGTCAAATGAGACCTCGAGCCCAGTCTCAGAAAAGCCCTCTGGTTCCAGAACCTCCATCCCTGTATTGACTTCCTTTGGGGCAAGGAATTCTTCCATCTCCTTCTAGAAGGCCCTCGTGCCACCACCCAGTCCTCCCCCCACTCCTGCCATCGGTCCCTGCTTCCTTTCATGCCCTCCCCACCCTCCCCACTCTCACGCCTGGAGGGTTTGGGGCCCTGGCCCTCAGCTCTCTCTCATCTCCTTCTGGTGTCTTGGTTTTTTTAGTGATTCTCTTTTAGTTATCTCTTCCTTCCTTCCTTTCTTTCCTCCTTCCTTCCTTCCTTCCTTCCTTTCAAGAACAAAAGAGAAAACTAAAAACCAAACACACCAACTTCCCTTGACTTCCTGTTTCCTAACAGGCCCCCTCGGCCTGCTTCCTGTCATCTTCTCTCCTCTACTCTCTCACCCTCTTCCTCCCAAGTCCATCCAACCTTTCCTAACTTCCCAAGAACACTTGGAACAAACTCTGAGCCACGGAGACTTGCAGCGGAGAGAGACCCCCCTCCCGTTACTGGGTTCCTTCCTGGAAGGACAAATGGACATGGACTGACCCAGCATCAGGCTGGACAATGGACAAGATAGACCCTGGCCTGGGAGACACTCCACTGCCTGTCCAGCCTTCGAAGAGACACAGATCTGCGTTGGCCTGCGGTTTCCTCTTGAACCAGGGTGGGCCTGTAAGTGGGCCTGCTGGATAGGATTTCCCAGAGAAGATGCCAAGGCTGCGGAATGGGGGGGCACTAGGTACTAGGGGAGGAGCCAGCTCACTGTTGCTCAGTGTCTGGCTGGTGCTAGCAAGGGACAGAAGGAGGGAGGCCCCTCGTTCGGGGGGGCTCCTGTGGGCAGCCTGCCCCGGGGCTCTGCCTTGGGAGAGGGCAACCCTAAGAGGGGCATTTGGTACTTTTAGTTTTCTAATTTAGCACTTTAAATGCCATTAACTTATTTTATGGGGGTGGGGTGGGCAAGATGGAAGGGCCTAGAAACAAGTTTGGAGGGTGGGACGGGTCTGGTTGTGAGGGAAATAAGAGGGGGGGGGTGGGTGCTGTAAGACTCTGACCCTTAGCTGGGGGCAACTTGGCCTTCAACAAGCCTTTATGATTTGAGGGTTTTCAGGGAAGGGGTGAGATGTGATTTGTCTATGGGGATCTGGTGACCACTATGAGGTGTTTGAGGGTCCCCAAGGCAGAGCCAGTAGTTGGTATGAATACCTTGCAAGGGTCCTGAACAGGGCAGACTAGCTTTTGGGTGGGCCCTGGAGGCAAAGGGAGAGGCTGGCTTGGTCCTGGCCTGGTCCCCAGCAGGCACAGAGGGGCCAGAACAAGAAGGGAGATCCGGGGAGGGGCTAGAAGGCTGGAGGGGCTCCATTTGGAGCACAAGGCAGAGTAAGCACAGAGATGTGGTCTTGGGACCAGTCCCCCAGTAAGCACAGAAGGAACCATGGAAGGGACAGGACCACAAGGCCTTGGAGCCTGGCAGGGGAGGCCAGCAGCAGTTGTTGAGTTTGGGGAGGCAGGGAAAACTGGGTGTGTTTCTTTTCTTTTTTTAATTTCTGCTTCTGTTTTGTTGATTCACCCTTGTTTTCTAGCTTTGGGTCATTTTTGTACCAAGGCAAGCAAGCCTTTTTTGAAAAATAACAAAAGAAGAAAAAATCCCTCCCAGGAAAACAAACAAAAAAATTAAAAAAAAAAAACAAAAAAATAAAACAAACAAAAAAACCCCTAGAAAATAGGGGGTTAAAAAAAAGGACCTCACAATGATGCAATTACTTTTAATTGCAAGCAACTCTTTACATTTAAGTGAAGTGTCTTAACATTTTATATTGTTTTAAAAATATATTTACATATTATATATATATAATATACGTAATATAAATATATATAAATATTTAAAAAAGAGAAAAAAAGAAAACCACAGCGCACTCTCCCTGGCTGCTGTCTGGCAGGGGGAGGGGCTGGGGGATAGGTGTGTGGCTTCTGTAGTTGGTGAAGCAGTTTGGTTTGATTGGGCTGTACAGAGATCCCTGGCTTGGGAGGGGAGGGGGCGGGGCCCCTCCCCTCCATTTCTCTTTGCTTGCTACTCTTTGCTTGCCCCCAGACCCCCTCAGCCCTGTGACTTGAGTGTGCGCCCCTCTGTCATTGTCCTGAGTTGAGTGTCCTCTGTGGAGGGAGGGAGAACTGGGAGAAATGACCATCCATACAGGGGCTGCCCAGGCTCTCAGGCAGGGCCTGTGGGATTTGCATAGTTCTTCACTTTGGTTCCTGCGCATGTGTGTGCTGGGAGGCATTTGTATGGGATTGTGTGCGGCCTGCGTGTGTGCACATTGGCACAAGCCTACATAACTTACGTGTGTGCACATGCATGGAGTGTGTGTGCATAGGCAAAATTTATATTGTATGTGTGAAGCTGTGTACATGTATGTGCATATAACCTGCCTGGGCATCAGCATGATTGTGTGAAAGGAACCTTGGCAGTAAGCACATGTGTAATGTGTGTGCAGACGTGCCTGGCTATTCATGTGAGGACCATATGTGGACGGATAGAGATCACGAGAGCTGTGGGTATGGCTGTGTACAGGTGCTGGCAGGCGTGTGAGAGGGCCTCTGTGTGTGTCAGTGTGCGTGTGCATGTGTGTGCGCTCCGTCACCCCTGCACCACTTGCCCGCCTCCCCCCCGAGGCCTCCCTCCCCACACCTTCACAAAGCCCACAGCACGTCAATGCTGCATGTGCCCAGACGCTCTGTCCATCAGTGTGTGCTTGACAAGAGAAACTGCCACATTGGGGACCCTGTACCTGGTCCCCTCACCCCTGCCCGCTGTGCTGTGTTTACTCGCATGGGGGTTCTCTCTGGCCCCTTCCACAATAAACTGTTTCCCCAGGGGCTTCAGGGCCCAGGCTTTAGTGGGGTCCCAGGTGGGGCCCCCAAGGCCAGCCTGGCTCCACACCCACCCCACCCACCCTGTAGGGCCTGTGTTGGTGTAGCAGTGATGGCTTCTGTGGATATTCTGTGACCTCTGTCAGTGTAACTTGACAATTTCTAAATGGAAAGGGTTGCTGTGTTTTCTGTCTCTTTTTTTTATTGTCCTTTTTCTTCCCTTCCTCCTTGCTTCCTTCCCTTCCTCTTGGTTTTTCTAGCCAAGTGTTGGGGCTTTAATAAAACTTGTTTCCTTTTTCTCTCCTGGATCCTCTTCTTCTGGGCTCCTGCCTCGTTATTTCCCTTCTTCACTTTCAGGGGCCTGGAAGAAATTGGGGTGTCTAACAGAGGGGTGGAGACTCCCCAAGCCAGCATACCTCGTGTCAGAGGGCATGCACAGAGAAAGGACAGGCAGGACAGGAGTCATAGACTGGCACTACCAAGGACACATGATTACTGATACCCCAGGGTATGGAAGAAGGACCCCACTAATTATTTATTTATTTGTTTGTTTATCTATTTATTTATTTGAACTTTAAAGGCAGGGTTTCTCTGTACTCCTGGCTCTGGAGACCAGGATAGCCCCAACCTCAGAGATCTCCCTGTCTCTGTCTCCTGAATGCTGGGAGGCATCACACCCTGCTAACCCCACTAAGAAGCCAGCTCCCGACTGGATGACACAGGAGAGGCCCCATCTCATCCTCATGGCCACCAATGAGGTGACTCTACACCTGTGAGTGACAGAGGTGTCACAGAGACACTGGGCATCTTTCCTGAGTCATGGAACTAGCAATCTGTGAACTCACAATTGGAATTCAGCTCTACCTGGCCCCCAAAAGCAATGCTTGGAGGTGGAGCAGCCCCAAGTTGGGTTTCAGCCTCTGGCCCTCTTTGAGGAGCCACCCTTCATGGCATTTCTAGAGCAGTCCTTTCAGACTTGTGGAACTAGCAGGCACTCACACTTGAATCACCCAAGATGCAGTGAAATCTACCTGCTACCCACAGTATACAGGGAATGGGCAAAATGTCCTGCTCAGGGTTTTGGGGGAACTAGAATCGAAAAGTCTTGCCATGGTTCCTGCATGTTCTGACTTAGAGGCTTCCCTGCATTCTACTTGGCAAAGCCTGGAATTGCCAGATCTTTTCTACCAGTCATTCTCCAGTTACCCCTGTCCCATGAGGTGGTAGGGTCCTGCAGCTACAACCTGGCAGTCGTTTTTGAAATCCTTAGTCTCATTCTCTTCTAAGGGCCACTAACAAGCCAGCGTTGAGAAACTGCTCACTGTTGACTGAGAGTGACGCTTCATGAGTCACCTCCTGCCATTGCCCCCAAAGACCTCAGATGCCAGCGCAGCCTCTTTCTACCTAGAGGCTGTCCCTGTGTCTCTTAGAACATCAGCAGGTCCTGATGTCAGTTTCCCTTCATATGCCTGGACAACAAGAGAACGTCAGCCCTCCTCCTTCCTCCTCCCTTCACTGGCAATTTAGAGTGGAGAACAATAGAGCTGTCACCTGCTTGCCAGAGATTATGCCAGGCACTCCCTCACTCTCAAATGGCTTCCAAATAGCTCTGGCTACTGTGCCTCGGTGCTCCCAGGACTAAGTGCTAGCCTCCGGCAGGGGAGCCAGCCAGGAAACAGGCACACACCTACAAGCTGTGGCTCACAGCAAGCAATGGAATAAAGGGACAGACAACCCTGTAACTGCTGTGCAATGAGCAAAGTGGACATGCCCAGGATGACCAGACCCTGAGGTCCCCTGGTTCAGAGACCTTAAATATGAAGAATGGAGGAGCTGGAGAGTTGGCTCTGTAGGTTAAGTGCCTCCCATTACAAGCATGAAGATTTGAGTTTGGATTCCCACTGCCCATATAAAAGTCAGGTAAAGCCGGGCGTTGGTGGCGCACGCCTTTAATCCCAGCACTCGGGAGGCAGAGGCAGGCGGATCTCTGTGAGTTCGAGGCCAGCCTGGTCTACAGAGTGAGTTCCAGGACAGCCTCCAAAGCCACAGAAAACCCTGTCTCGAAAAACCAAAAAAAAAAAAAAAAAAAAAAGTCAGGTAAAGTGGTTCAGATCTGTGACCTTAGGGCAGGAAGAGGATTCTGGGGACAGCCATGGTATCCAATAGGTGAACTCCAGGTGTCTCAAAAGAGAGGTTAAAGAGCAATAAAGACAGAAGACACCTACTTCTGGCCTCCACATATGTGTGGCTGAGCACACACCCACAATACTAACACAACTTTAGAAAGTGAATCAGATTCCCAATAAAGGTGGACCTCTGTGAGTTTGCGGCCAGCCTGGTATACCCAGTGAGTTCCAGACTTCCAGGGTTACATAGTGAGACCCAGTCTTCAAAAACAGTAACAGAAAGAGGAGTGGAGTTGGGAGTGGGCACATGCCTGTCAGCCCAGCACTCGGAAAGTGGGAGCAGAAGAATTAAGAGTTAAAGTCAGATTGGGACATATGGTGAATTGGAGGTCAGAAAAGAAGCAAAACCCGAGAAACGGCTTAGCAGGTAAAGGTGGAGCCCACGTGGTGGAAGGAGAGCTGGATCCTGCAAGCTGACCCCTGACTGCCGTGTACACACTGTGCCCTGCATTATTTATATAATATGTAAATCAATAAATGAATGCAATGTACAAAAAGTGAGTAGCATGCGTATAATCCAAGCAACGGGGGGGGGGGGGGGTACTGAGTCAGGATGTTCTAGAGTCAATCTGGATTAGAGAGAGAGACCTATTCCCCCCCCAAAAAACCCAAAAGTCAGACAAGGCTCACACCCGTAATTCCCATACATGGTGCAAGAAGATTACCTGGAGTTGAAAGCCTGGGTTATGGAGTGGGATGTCATCTCAGTAAATTCAACCAACCAACCAAATAGATGAATCACTTTGTGAAGTTGATAACTGAGAGTCCTAGACAGGGCTGGGGGAGAAGTAGCTTTGGGTTCTAGGAAATCAAATCCAAGCAGCTCAAGGGGGGGCAGTCAGGGAGATGGGCAGGGTCACGGCCAGGGACTGGAAGCCGTGGCAAGTGATGGGGAGGTTTCTTACATTTTTATACCTCACTCTCAATGAAATGTGTATGCCGTGGGTGGGAAGAGGAGTTTGTGCACGTGAGTGAAGGTTCCTGAAAATACTAGAAGAAGGTACAAGATCCCCTGGGACGGGCGGTTGTGAGCTGCCTGATGTGGGTGCTGGGAACCGAACACAGGCCCCTGTGGGAGCAATACACTCTTTAGTAGGAAAGTGTCCAAGACCAGCCCAGTTGCTGCAGAGATGGCTCCTGCTGTAGCTGTCACAGTGTGGGTGACAATTCAGTGTCTCAGGAGAGGAGAATGGAATGTCAAGAGTCTTGGTGGTGACATTAAATGATGGTCCAGAGTGAAATCCAGAACACCCTTCAATGGGTGCTATCTCTGACCCCGGTCACTCATCTGACTACTTTAGTTAGGACAGGTAACCATGATTCCATCCTCACCTATGCCAGAAAAGTGGTAGTTGTTTGTGTGTGGTGGGGGACAACAGCATTTCTCTCCCTCAACACTAATGGAATTGGAATTTTTCTTCCTCTTTATTTTTGGTTTTTCCAGACAAGGTTTCTCTGTTTAACAGACCTCTAGCTGTCCTGAAACTCTCTTTGTAGAACAGTTTGTCCTCAAATTCACAGAGCTCCTCCTGCCTCTGCCTCCCAAGTGCTGGAATTAAAGGCGGACGCCACCATGCTCAGTAGAATTGAAGTTTTTCTGAGAAACTTTTCCAGGAAACAACAAACTTTATGGGCAGGGGAACAAGGTCCGAGTGCAGTTGGCTTGTCAGTCTTTATGGCTTTATTCAGGTGCATTTCACATGCTATAAAATTCCCACCTAAGGTCTGCAGCTCAGTGGGCTTGCAGCCAGCGCTGTAATCTAATTTTAGAATATCTTCAATACCTGAAAAAAGTCTGACCCCCAACTGTCGTTACCCATTTCAGCTTCTTCCTCTGTGGCACCCTGTCCCCAGGGATGACTCCTCTCCTTCCCCTGTGTGGACCCCCAGACTTTCCCCTGTGGATGGAATCTCAGCAGCCTGGCCGCTTTTCTCACACCCTGTTAGCAGAGGCAGCTGTGGTGGAGCAGGCATCAGGACTTCATTCCTTCCCAGCCCTTCTCCATCACACACACACACACTACGTGATATTTGTGTGTGTATCAACCCATCTTTAGATCATTAGGACATGAATGGTCCAGTAACAAGTGTATGTCTGGCGGCAAACGTGTGTCCCGGGCTGTGTGTGGAGGTCAGAGAACAATTTTGGGAAGTAAGTTCCTTTCTTGTACCTTTATGTGAGTTCTGGGGATCAAATCCTGGCCAGCAGGACCCAGCACGTGGCAAGTGCTCTTCTGGCAGAGCCACAGTATCCTGGAGCAGCAGCTCTGGTTTCCATTCCCACCAAAGAGGTTTCTAGTTTCTCCAAGACTTTTTCAGCTCTTGTTATTGTATTGACATTGCTCAATTTATGTCGTCCAAACATCAATGTTGCTATCGTTTTTTTAAGACAGGGTTTCAAGCTCTTTGTGTAGCAGAGGCTGATGTTCCTCTTCTCCTCTTCCTGCCTTTACCTCCCAGCTGTTGAGATCACAGGCATGCACCACCCAATCTGGCTTATGTGGTACTGGGCATTGAGCCCGGTACCTGAGCTGCACCCAGGCTCTGAGCCATATATCTTGATTGTTGGTAAGTCTTTTTTTGCTTTTCTGTATGGCCTGTGCCACAGTGAGTGTGTGGAGATCAGAGGACAATTTTCTTTCTTTTTCATTTTCTTTCTCTTTTCTTTTTGTTGTTGCTTTGTTTTGTTTTGTTTTTTTTAGAGACAGAATTTCTCTGTATGTAGCCATGGCTGTCCTGGAACTCATGTCTCCTGCGCTCTGGGATTAAAGCTCAGCCTCAGAGGACAACTTTCAAGAGCGGTTTTCAACCAGGTGTGTTTGGTGGTGCACGCCTTTAATCCCAGCACTCAGGAAGCAGAGACAGGTGGATCTCCGAGTTTGAGGCCAGCCTGGTTGGTCTACAGATCGAGTTCCAGGACCGCCAGGGATGAACAGATAAACTCTGTCTCAAAAAACAAAACAAACAAACAAACAAACAAAAAAGAGTAGTTCTTTTTCCACGTAGTGGGTTCCAGAGATTAAACTCAGGTTGTAAGGTTGGGTTGCAAGCACCCTTACTTGATGAGTCATCTCAGTGACCCCAAACCTCTTAATTTCTACCTTAATCACATTGTGACTGAG